CATTCGGTTTCTAGAGGGGGAGTGTTTGTTATTTTCAAATCTTTTAACACAGAGCGCGCCAATGAAACGCTCTGGAAATGAAAAATTCAGTCACCAACATAAGAATATGCATTAGCAATCTAGTTTATGGGTATTTATTTCGACAAACAAATTGTTAAAACCTGTTAGCTTTTGTGATCCATAATAATGCTCCAAAACCGTAACCGCAATCTCCTTATGATCTTCACCAGCCTGATTGTGAGCGCTGCATAGGTAGACTCCGCTGTCGTTTGGCGTTACTCCATTGAGAACCAATGTATCATTACCAACAGTTCTCCCTTGTTTCGTCCATGTTATGGTTGGTGCAGGAAGACCCTTTGCTTGGCTGTTTATTCGCAAGCTGTCCCCAACGTTCACGGAAAAGTTTTCCTGTTTGGGACTGGTTATCTTAGGAGAATCTGTTTAGATATTTGAGAATAAGGTTTTTCTAAATCAGAAGTGAAAGTCAAAGAAGGAAAGCCATCACATTTTCTTAAAAGTGGCTAAGATGGGGTCCATAATTGGCCACTGAAAGACTATGGGCAAGGGGCTCTGAGTGGCCAGAGGCACATACTCAGAACATATTTGCCCAAGTACCCCCGCTTCCGGGTCTGTGGCATTCCTCCACAAATGAAATGTAACAAATATATTACCCTCAAGAAGAAGCATCACAGGATCCGTCAAAGGAGGCTGATGAAGGCCAAGCTCAACCTGAAGACAATAGTGATTCTCATCCTTCATGGTTAAACCATGGAGTGTGAATGCAACTTGAAGCTTGGACATGTTAAAGTCGCAGCTAATTTTATTCTCATAGTTTGGTCTTATCAGTACCTCACCATGTCTATCGATGACCAAGAGTTTTTTTTTCAGGAATCCTGGATCTTTCCAGATTCCAAACGCCACTTCAAATATGCTACTATTCCACGTCTCTGAGGGAAGCAAACCAAGCGTCCAATTAAGCGTAGCTTTGTCTTCGCTACGAGCAATCAGGGGATCACTTGGTCTAGAAACAATTTTAGGATGCCCTCCTTGGCAAAATACTGTTAAATCGTGGAAAGAAATGGAAAAGAAAAACAATAGAATGGTTATTATTGCCTAAATGCAGAATCAGAAGCGACTTCGTAAGCTAAGTTGTCAAATCTCTCCGTTGACCAAAGACCGAAGAACTCCTTCCGTACTTTTACCCTGTAACGGAATTGCTCTAGAAGTTTTTTAAAAAGCTAATAATGTATCAGTTTGACAAGTAGACTGATCAAATGCAAATGTTCTCTAGTTGCGTGTTAACGATTTGTAGTTTCCGCGTATTTCATTTCCATAATTCTAGATTCCTTATTTTCCATTCGTGTACTGAAACACTGTCGATTGATTTATGCACAGACTGAACCTAAACAATGGCCTTTCTCTTTGTCTTGTTTTTTCTCGGAAATAAATCACCTGAATATTTATCAAAAATCGTAGTTCAGATGTCGCTCTTTAGCTTTTGAATATTTTTTAGAATAAACCGGTAGCGACTACATTGCAAAACATACGGTCATTTAATTATTTATGAAAGGTCTTCCACAAGCAGTGTCTTCAGCCGCTTCAAAAATATAGTTCGTGGTCATCTCTTTCTTAAACCAACCGTTTGCCGATCCTGTTTTTCAGATTTCTCTGTTGGGTCGCAAAATCCTTGCTTTCAGGTCTGGAAATTTGAAATGTTTTCATTCTAATTTAGACTTTGTTAAATCTAGTAAGTCTTAATATATCTTCCGTACACCAAACATTAAATTCTCTCTTATTGATGATTACTTTCACTTTCACCTTAAGCAGTTAATCTAGAACGAAAAAACCTTTTTTTTGTCTGTGTTAAGCATCAATTGCTTTAAATATTGTTTCCGGTGTTAAAATCAGGCTACAAATGTACATAATTCCGGTTTAGACTTAATTTCCTAATTTAAAGTGGTATGACGAAGAGGCACTTCCGGGTTTGTGCGTTTATCCGATCGTCGGCTTCAGTTAAATGGTGAGATGAGTTGCATTGTTGTAGAAGGTCACGATGAAAAAAAAGAAAAGAATGAAGGAATCGTTTGATTACTGACAATGTCAACACTGTGTTCTTAAATTTACCAGGGAGCCACAGAGACATGATGAGAGTAGCTGAAATCATCGTCGCCTTCGTTCGATACGGAGGGTCGATTCACCGCTTAATGGAATCTCGGATTTTCTTAGTTGTGATACCAATGCAGCTATTTTTAATGGTTGCGACTCGGAGAAGAGGACTTTCAGACTTAAAAGAAAAGTAGTTTCAAACCCTGACTATCTATCTGATGTTTTGTTGATATTCGCCATTATTTTCATGATATTGTTTCCGAGAAATTTAACCGTATAAGGTCATTTGAATTTCTTAACAAATAACATAACTCTAGAACTAACCGGCAAGCCTTGCGGAAAATGATAAAACTACTAACAACCCAATAGCTGTGACAGTAGCTAAAACTCCAAGTAACTATTAATTCACTTAGTATATGAATTGTTTTTTCTTTGGCTATTTAGCTGCAGCCAACCACAGTGTATTGTAAACATCACAATAGTTATGCAGGACCGCACAAACACATCTTAAATGTCAACATTTGGACGGCAATCCCATGAAGGTATAACTAACTTGTTATTTCATGTCATTTCTTAATTTTAGGAACCGGCAACAAAAATGAGGCTGTCATCCCTGCTACTATTGGGGCTGTTGCAGCTTTATTCCTGATTGGAGGAATTGCAATGTGATACTTGTGTTGCTGCAAAAAAAAGGGCGGACGACCAAGAAGTGACGGAAAACACATCCCCATAGGAAAATGTACTTGACAGCTTAGGTATCTTAGTTCCTGAATGAATCATTCTGATCTCAAATATATTTTCAATGAGTTCTTTGGGACATAAGTTTCTGTGTAAACTAGTCAGATTTGGTTTGTAGTATGAACCTTACTCTTCAGCAACTAAGTTCCTCAACAAACCAATGACATGGAAGAATATATGTGACGTCATTTCTTAATTAGGGTTTGTCTGTTTTATTTATGCTAACAACAAATAAATAAATCTGTATATGTAGTAAATTATTTCCTTTGAGGCTGTATTATTTTCATTAGCTCTCAATGCTTTTTGTAAGGCCCTGCCTTAGTAGTAATTTTGCAGTAAAAAATCAGTTACATTCATTGTATTTCACCTTACAAATATATTGAACTTGAACCCCGGACCACCAGATTACAAGTCCAGTGCCCTAACCACTTGGCTACACTGCCTAAAATATATAACAACCAAATGGTTGGAAAACATTTTTCCTTTGTCAAATACAAAATCCTAATTAGGATTAGAATAAATATGGGTTGGGTTGAATAGAATATTAAATTCTCTTTGTATGATTGCTACAGATTTCATGGGAATATTTCTGGAATAAAATTTTACAATGGTAGGGAATTAAGTTGGTAAATTTACAGTGAGATAGTGAAAATTGTAATTGACAATTGGTCATGAACCCTACTACAGGTAGCCCTTGCTCATACAATGAGCCTAATAAAGTTGATAAGTATGCATATCTGTTTATGTTGCACAAAGGGTGAAGATAAAGGATTTCTATGGGCATGGGGATTGAAATCTAATGATCTAGTTTTTAATAAAAATACTTTCTTACGGTTTATGCACTAATTAATTTAAAGCTTCAACATCCACACCTCCCTCCCCTCTGTTCCATACTCCAAGGTGGGACATTTTTTAACCTTGCCTGGGTGGGGTAGGGAATATGAAACAGAAGAAGACATGAGTTTTGATATTAAATATGGACGAGTTTAAAGGTTAAGAGTCAGCTTTTGTGAGCAAATGTCATTCAAGAAAATTTTCACATAATAGAATGATGATAATAAGCAAAAATCCAAACACTCTGCTGCACCAAAAACTGAGAGGTGACTGCTAAATTCGTCCACATTAATAGATCACACAAAGAATCATTCAGTTAAAGAAAATGTGATTGTCTGGGGAATTTTAACCCAATTTTATTAGACAAATCCTCAAAAATTAAAATTTGTAGAGAGTTGCCCAGGAGTGGAAGGGGATGACCCATTTGTCATTTTCAGCTTTCTTTCTTAAAGAGGGATTTTTTGTGATGCAATGACCATGATACACATTGCAATCACATGAGGTGGAATCTCTTGTTTGCTTTTTTTAACAGTAAATCTGCAGTGTAAGTCTGTGCTAGGATCTTGCAGCCTATGTGGTGTCACAGCTTGACAATATCCTCTCGTCCCCAGTACACAGTGACTGAGACAAGTATTAATGCTAATCTTCTTGGACAGGTTGTTAATTCAAGAAAACTACCCCAGTGATTCAATAAGTTACCCTATTAACACCTAAGAGTGATTGGCATCTAAAATCACTGCTAAATCAAACATTAAAGTCATGATAATAAAGGGAATGATCACCAACTAGAGCGGCTCTTGGTAGATGAACAAATTCTTCATGTTAGCTCTACAGAAATATAAGACACAGATCAGTATGGAGAATATGGATACCCATGATAGGGTGGAGAAGGTTAAGTTCACCTGACTGGTTTCTGGTATCCATTTATTTCCCTGGAGAGAGGCATTGTTAAAGGAGTGTGTCTCCTTAAAATAGGACTGAAAAAAACAATTATTGGCCAATTACTGAGCTAGCAAGGTTTTTCTTAGGGACCTATTTGGAAATGAACATTTCTTACTTTTATTAAGATGCTTGATCAGATAGGAGTTTTCCAAACAAAACGGGAAAACATTTATTACATCATCACATCTATAATAATGTCTCCTGCTAACAATACTTCTCCTAATTGTTATAACACAGTTATCTGAGTGTACAGTTTACATTAAAAAAAGCCATATTTAATTTTCTTACATCAAACTTATAATTAGTACGAGGATAATGACTCCAATGCACCTGATAACTAAAAAGGTCATTAAAATATAAAAATATATCCTCACTGAAACTGTATAACAGCATTTGCATTTTCCTTAAAAAGAAATATTTATTCTGACTACATATACAAGACATTCAATTTGTAAAGTTTATTTAGGATGAGTCACGCCGTGTTCTAGTACATGCAGAATGATACAATCTTAATATCTGCGCCCTGAAAACTACTAAAAGAACAATCAGAATGACAACTACGATTGCAGCAGAAACTGCTCCTGCGATGATGACATGGTTTGTGCTACCTGTACTTACAAAAGAAAAAAAGAAAAGTTAAAGAATGGCAAGTAAAACTAATGATTTAGAAGAAGTAACAATTGAGATTATATAAATAATTGTGTTTTCAACTTGGTTAATTTATTAGGATATGTTAACAGAGATTATCGTGAAAGAAATGCATTCAAGCTAAACTTTCAGCTTAATCAATAAGCATTACATAATTCATGCATGTGTTGATTAACGGACTGAGTGACTGACAAATGGATGGATTTTCCAATTTAAAAGCATCATTCATGAGAAATTTCTATATATCTTTTGAATACAAGAACCCAATATTTGACTTGTATAATGTCTATTTCAAGAAAAAAATTGCTAACAGTACCTGAGTGTATATCAATCTATGATATATATGTAACTGCCTCATGTTATGTAGAAGCTTAGTAGTAAACTAAGTGAAACTAAATGTGTGAATCAATTTGTAGATGGACTGAATTAATTTATACTCCATATGATGGAGCTTAAGCTTCACACTCCATCTTTTTGTTAACCATTAGGTACCTAAATTTAATCCTTAATTTTTCATCCCAGCTGCATGAATGATGCCTTTTTACCTTTAGAAACTGTACTGGTTGTAACTGTTGTAGCCTGTGTTGAATTTGGTTTACCTGCAATAATGAAAATGGGACATCTGAGGCATGCATACTATAGTAAGTAAAAAAAAGAAAAAGAGTCGCACAAGACTTATCAGATTCTGGCTGTGGTGAAACCTGCAGTCAATCAAGGCTTTGAGTGGGATGAATTCATAATTATATTATAATTATGTTACTTTTGTTGTCATTTTACATTAAGAACAAATTAAAGCCAGGAACACTGTATAATTAACAGCGTGCTAATTTGCCTCACAAGAAGAGCTTTTTTGGTTCAGACGCTAAGTATTATTATATTTTTTTAGCATTTCCACATCACGTACACCTTTTCACCTGAAGAAACCCGTTCTGTGGGGCTTGAGTTAAGTGCAATCAGGTTAGGTTACCCTTTCCTCACCAATAAAACACTGTCTCACCAAAAAACAAGCTAGCTTAATCGTACGATGCACTAGTACAGACTACAACAAGCCAATCCCACGCAAGGCTACTGTAGCTGAGACTCTCCTAGTACTTCATTCCCCTTGAACACCATCTACAGTACACTGAGCTCAACTTTGTACATTCCACTCCACAATCATTTTTAAAACTGACTTAACCACTCCATGCAATTTCAGCCCTATTCTTCCTCCGAAGTCCGCCCGCGGAAGTTGCGAGACGATTCGGGGAAAAGTTTGCTGGGAGTCTGGATCCCTCACAGACCTCCCGTCGTTTCGCGTAGCTCAAAGTCTCTTAGTTTTCACGAGCTCGTGTCGAAGCGTTGATGATAAGGGCCTGCTCGAAGGCGATGCATTTACTGCTTTACAAAACTACTCTACACTTAACCGTGCTCATCTGTGCATACTTTGTATTATGACTCAACCTCATCATACTCTAATTTCCTATCAACTCACTTTTTGGACTCCTTTACTGATAGGGTTTACAATTGATACTTACCAGAATAACTACTCTTTGCGCTGGGAGTTACGGTTGGTCTCTCTAATAGAAGGCATAAAAGCAGATGGAAAAGATTAATGACAATTTCGAATCAGTACACTGGAAATTTACCAAGATAAACTGATTTTCAGGCCAACTAGAAACTTCGAAGGGTTGCATAAAGAGCAGCTAAAAATATCCCGGATTAAGTTGAGCAAGTAATCATCAAATATCAAACTGCAGTATGAAAGAAAATTAATGGTCTTTCTTAAATTCAGTTCTGATTAAAGCTAGCCTGGCCCTAGTGTCAGTAAATCATTAAAACATACTTGCATACGTTACCTAGTACATTAAGATCGATTTCCTCGAATGTTGTATTGTAGAGCCCAGATGAATACTTTATACAGAGGTATCGACCAGCATCTTGAAGGGTAACATTTCTTAGTTTGAAAGAAACGTAAGTTTCGTTCACTGAGAAGGAATCATCAGAACAGGGTGTAGGTTTTTGAGAAACATAATGAGAGCAACTGAATTTGTTATCTTCTCTGTTCTTTCCAATAATGAAAATGGTTGTGTTATCTTTTTTGAGTGTGTACTTAAAACGGTCAGCAGTTCGGTCGTGGTCTGATCTTGTAAACGATAGTTCAAAAGGTTCCATCATGTAGGCTGACTCTAAAAAAAAAGGTAGAATATTAGAATTTTGAAGTCTACATTTCACCACTAGTTATAAACAAAATAGGGTTAAGGATATCTCTGGATTAATTTGCCTTACCTTTACGGACAATCGAGCTGCCATTTTGAACCACGTACGAGAGTCCTGGTATGATAACAATCACAGAATCCTTGAGCGGCAGCTGACTCAAGCCAAGCTCAACATTTACTCCGTACATTGCCTGATCTTGGATAGCAATGTTTTTCAGAATGAATGTTAATTTGTATTTTGAGTGGCTCCAATCCATTTTTCTATCAAATCCATCTTGCACACTAAACTTTCCACTACTATCGACAACAACAAGTTTCTCGCTCAAGAAAGTTTCGCCATGTATAGATTTATAAATACCAAAGCTGATTTCATACACGTCTGGAGCACCAAATGGGCCACCTGGATTGCCTCCCAAATCGTTGTATGAGAAGCTCCAGCCCAGAGCGACATCGTCATCTAGTTTGGCCTTTATTGTACGGTCTGGTATGTCCCCTGTGAAGCTTATACTACAAGCCACTATTAAAAATAAAAATCAAGTAAATGAGAAAATACCAAATCAAATAATTAATAATTAATTAGTAGAACAATCAATTCAAGTGTGATATTTTTATAAGTTATAAAAACTCAGTTATCGCTAAGCAATCATGACCTATAAACGACTAGTTTAAATTGTCTTGGTTTTTCTTAATACATATTTTTTCAACTCACTCTCTGCTCAAATGGTCAACAATTTTAATGATTTACAACTCGTGTCAATTACTCTTTTCGATTATCAACAGTTCCTTTTTCCCAACCCAGCAAACCAATGTTAATGCTTTTCTTTTACCAGACGATCATCAAATTTCCGTGGTGATCCACTATGTCGCGAAATAGCACCATCATGTTAACGCATTATGCTTGGCCACCAAATCCTCTTTTCGATGCAATCAAATTCATATCGACGGGTAGTCGTTCCCTGCTTGTTTATTTTTGTTTTGTTTTTTTCAAAAAATTGTGGATCCAGAAATTTTTTTCCATCGATTGTCGAGGTTTTTTTCCCCGAGAAATACGTCCTCGAATATCATCACTACGTTTTGGTGTGAATCAAGAATGGTGATGATGGTGTGAAACAGGATTTAATACTAAAAAAAATCTAGCTTTGTACATTTCTTATCCTTCGATTACCAGCCGCTGTTCGGGAAATGAGCCTGCGCTCATTGAGGGACAAACTCGAGGAAACGTCGGGAATTAATCCTGTTGACAACATACGCCAATTGTCGGGTTTGGCGCTGCTAGAGACGTGAAACCTATCCAGCCTATTCGCCAAATTCTTTAGAAATTATTTAACAATTTTCTTCTCGACCTTTTCCTTGGTTCTGCTTCGCTCAATGCCTTTGAGCTGGGTTACTTTAGTCTCGTTCGCAGTCGTTTTACTTGTTGCTCGTATCATGTATGATATTTGATATTTCCGAGAAAAGCAGGAAGCTCTTGAAAATCAATGGCCGTGGGTGCCTTCAGAAATTTCTTCGAACTCAATAGCGAACGATGAGTCATTTCAAACATTTCTAACAATTGTGTAGTAAGTTTTCAACGTAGCCCTTCGAACCTCAACTTTGTTGTAGAAGGGCACGAACATATTCGGAGTATCACTTTCCGATTTCACTATTCAATTTCAAAGCTTTATAGATTCTCTTTTACTTACTACCGTTATCATCTCCTCGTACATGCTGCCAGCATTAAAACTTACCTTGAAGCAATGTTACCATGCAAAAACTGCCGAAGAAAACTTGGCGCAAACGTAAATCCATGACAGCCTCTTTGAGTAAAGGCAACCGCGTGAAAAATATGTCGAGTTAGCATTTTCATTGAATTGCATCATCGATGCAGTTGTTCTAAAAAAAATCCACGACCATGACAGTGCATTTTCCTGGGTTTCCGGGAATGCCTTGTAAACATCTTAAGAGTATCAGATGTTTGTTAAGAAATTTAGTCGGTTCAACTGAGGAATCGTGTCGATGTTCTACTTTACGAAACAACCGTACTTCAGGGAACAGTGAGATCGCTATGTCTTAACAGATCCTTGAAACCGTAGAATCTTGAACCAACTGAATTAAGAGCCGAGATCCTAGAATCGCTTGGAATGACACAAACAAAGAATCAAAGGGGACATCATATCTATTTTATAGTATACGCAAGTTTGGATATTTCGTCCGTCAAAAGACAAGCGTAATTTTTAAGATCACTTGAAATTGTAAGATGAGATTCTTAGAAAAATTTTGACTGCAGGGCAGCCATCTCTGTGACTGCCTGTTGGGCCTTCGTAGCGTGACGCGTCAGCAATGAAATTCTGAGAAGTGTCTTTCTTCATAAAGCATCCTGTCTACCTGTGATTGTTAACCCCCTTAACTCCCAAGATCTCTAAGTAATTCTCCCTACTGTCTGCCATAAAATACTAATTATTTCAATTTGGAGAATTTGGTATTGGATCAACTTGTAGTCCCCTAATTGAGTTTTCTTCTATATTCTTCTTACTTGTCTGCTTGATTTTGTGTTGATATTGTAAGGAGAAATTCTGTCTTGGTCACTCATGGGAGTTAAAGGGTTAAGCAGCAGGAGCTTGATTTAGATGGAGACAGAGAAAAGTTCTTAATCCTTTAACTCCCAAACTAAATTTGTAATTCTCCTTACCGTCAACCATACAATTCTTACAATGTTAGTTCAAATAATTTAGTATTGGATCGACTCATTATCCCCAAATTGATATTTTTCTTTGTTTTTATCACTTATCTGGTTGATATTGTATTGATATTGTAAGGAGTAATTCTGTCTTGATCACTCCTGGGAGTTAAAGGGTTAAAACTTATTTTGGCGTCTCTTCAGCGAATTTTGATGTGTTTTTGGTAAGGCTTCGTACACTTTTATGATTCTCTCACCAACAGGTAAATGCTTCCGCATTCTTCTGAACCGTATGCGACTCCAATTCCGTAGTTATAGCAAAAGCTAGAAGCAAACCAAACTTGATGAAAGTTTATCTTAGTAGTGTTTATTAATAAAAATGAAGATTATTACGAGGGTTGGTTGTCGGGCCAAATCATATTGTAATTCACCCTGCATGTAGTTTCCTTTATTGCTTTAAGCTCGAAGGCACTTTCCGTTTTCGAGATGGTTCACTGAAACGACAGGATTGAACTCATAAACATTGCTAAAAGAGCTGAAAAGGCACATTACATTTGATTAAATTGCTTTGATAGTTTTGTACGGAATTCATTGTCGACCGTTTGGTACAATCGCCCCTGCTAAAAAGGCAAATGTTTTTCTTCTCAGTAAAGGGCTATTGTGTTTCTATGCTAAACAAAATAATACATGGTTGCTTGTAGATATGGAATTTCTCTTCTTGTGTTCAACTCGACATCTCACTCGTTCGCTGCGCTCACTCGTTAGCTATCAAGTAACACACCCGAAGAGAAATTCCGTATCTATGCGCGCCCATGTATTATTCTCTATATATCTACACATGTAGTGCTGAAAATTGTATTCTTGCTTTATTTACCAACATTAAGCCAGATTATAAGTTTTAATTCTTTAAAGTTGTCTCCTACGAAGTCTTTCCATGCTAATTACGGTAACAAACTATTCAGTTGCAAGTTCTTGGATTTTTTCAGTGATTGGGTTGTGTTCCGAACTAACATTGTAAAACAAAGGATTTTGAGTACCAATGCACTCATCAAATGGGTGCGTTAGATTGTTATTCAAAGACTAGTGGACGGTTTGTGTCAAAGCATTTCTCGCTGAGAAAATTGTTCTGTTTTAAAGTTTTCTATTTTTCCTCAGCAATCATTTTAAAGCACACTTACAGTGTATTACAATTACGCAAGTTTTATTTATAACTTACGAGAATTATCGGATCAGTGGAGAGAATTAAGAGGCTTTGGAGCAGAAACCGGCAGGAGGTTAAGAAAGAGGAAAAATTGGAGAAATTGCACAGCTGCTTTTGATACTATTTCGGTATACCAGCTAATGATGCATTCCATGATAGAGTATGATCAAGGTATACTGTTCAGTCACTAACCCGCAGCCTCCTCATCGGCTCTAGGCTAGATCTTGGCAGTTGTGAAGTGCTCACCTGATGCTTTTTCATCAATATGCTGCTCATAAGCGAGGTTCCTTTTGCAGCGGTGCCCACGCAAGCGAAAGACAACCACTGCAGCTATTAAAAAAACTGACACACCTATGACTACTGGAAATAACCACACAGGACTTCCTCTATCATGTGATGTTTGTGTTGGCATATGAGGAACTAGAAAAAAGTTAGAAAGCACTTTAGCAGGAAGGATGATTATCATTATAATCGTCGTCATTATTTCTGAGCAGCTTCAGAAGTAATATTTATACAAATTCAACAACAAGAGACCTCAAAGACTAGAGGAGAGGCCAGGGGAGGCCACCTCGGTTATCAGTCTGTCTGTAATTAACTTGTGCATGAGCGGCTTGGCCAATTCAGAAATATAAAATTGAAAACTTTTTTTTTTTAATGTATAAATAAGCTAATCGAACCGATGATCGATATCAGGAGAAGATATCAAATTGTGGGACCTTGTTAGAGTAATGTGGACTGCTTAAGATTACAGGGACATTGATGTGGTCGATATCATGACTTGTGCGAAAGAGATCCTTAGCTTAAAAAAGATCAGAGAAACTAACTCCTTGAATAGGTAATGATTCCATTCGGTTTCTAGTGAGGGAGTGTTTGTAATTTTCAAATCGTTTAACACAGGACGCGCCAATGGAAACGCTCTGAAAATGAAAATTCAGTCACCAACATAAGAATATGCATTAGCAATCTAGTTCATGGGTATTTATTTCGACAAACAAATTGTTAAAACCTGTTAGCTTTTTTGATCCATAATTATGCTCCAAAACCGTAACCGCAATCTCCTTATGATCTTCACCAGCCTGGTTGTGAGCGCTGCACAGGTAGACTCCGCTGTCGTTTGGCGTTACTCGATTGAGAACCAATGTATCATTACCAACAATTCTCCCTTGTTTCGTCCATGTTATGGTTGGTGCAGGAAGACCCTTTGCTTGGCTGTTTATTCGCAAGTTGTCCCCAATGTTCACTGAAAAGTTTTCCTGTTTGGGACTGGTTATCTTAGGAAAATCTGTTGAGATATTTGAGAGTAAGGTTTCTCTCAATCAGAAGTGAATGTCAAAGAAGGAAAGCCATCACAAATACTTAAGAGTGGCTAATATGGGGTCCATAATTGGCCCTGAATGAGTATGGGCAAGGGGCTCTGAGTAGCCCAGGGGTACATACCCAGAACATATTTGCCTGAGTACCCCCGCTTCCGGGTCTGTGGTATTCCTTTACAAATGAAATGTAACAATTATATTACCCTCAAGAAGAAGCATCACAGGATCCGTCAAAGGAGGCTGATGAAGGCCAAGCTCAACCTGAAGACAGTAATGATTCTCGTCCTTCATGGTTAAATCATGGAGTATGAATGCAACTTGAAGCTTGGACATGTTGAAGTCGCAGCTAATTTTTTTCTCATAGTTTGGTCTAATTAATACCTCACCATGTCTATCGATGGCCAAGAGTTTTGTTTTCAGGAATCCTGGATCTTTCCAGATTCCAAACACCACCTCAAATATGCTACTATTCCATGTCTCTGAGGGAGGCAACCCAAGCGTCCAATTAAGCGTAGCTTTGTCTTCGCTACGGGCAATCAGGGGATCACTTGGTCCAGAAACAATTTCAGGATGCCCTTGGCAAAATACTGTTAAATCGTGGAAAGAAATGGAAAAGAAAAACAATAGAGTATATATTGTTGCATAAATGCGGAATCATAAGCGACCTCGTAAGCTAAGTTGTCAAACTTCTCTCAGTTGACCAAAGACCAAAGAACTCTTTCTGTACTTTTTCCCGGTAACGGAATTGCTCGTGAAGCTAGTTACAAAGCTAATAATGTACCAGTTTGAAAGGTAGACTGATCAAATGAAAATGGTCTCTAGGTGCGTGTTAACGATTTGTAGTTTCCGCGTATTCCATTTCCATAATTCCAGGATTCCTGATTTTCTGTTCGTGTAACGCTGTCGATTGATTTATGCACAGGCTGAACTTAAACAATGACCTTTCTCAGAAGGAAGGGGCCTTTGTCTTGTTCTTTCTCGGAAATAAATTACCTGAATATTTATCAAAAATCGTAGTTCAGATGTCGTTCTTTTGTTTTTGAATATTTTTTCAGAATAAACCGGTAGCGACTACATGGCAAAATTTCGCCTGAAAGATATGGCCATTTTATTATTTATGAAAGGTCTGCCACAAGCAGTATCTCCAACCGCATCAAAAATATAGTCCGTGGTCATCTCTTTCTTTAAACCAACCGTTTGCCGATGCTGTTTTTCAAATTTCGCTGTTGGGTCGCAAAATCCTTGCTTTCAGGTTTGGAAATTCAAATTTTTTAATCTAATTTTGACTTTGTTAAATCTAGTAAGTCTAAATACATCTTCCGTACACCAAACATTAAATTTTCCCCTAAAGATGATTACTTTCACTTTCACCTTAAGCAGTTAATCTAGAACGAAAAAACTTATTTCTTGTCTATGTTAAGTATCAATTGCTTTCAATCTTGTTTCTGGTGTTAAAATCACGCTAGAAATATATGTAATTACGGTTTGGACTTTCCTAGTTTAATGTTTTAAGGTTTTGACGAAGAGGCACTTCCGCGTTTGTGCGTTTATCCGATCGTCGGCTTCATTTAAGTGGTGGATGAGTTGTATTGTTGTAGAATGTCACGATGAAAGAAAAGAAAAGAATGAAGGAATCGTTTGATCGCTGAAAATGTTAACACTGTGTTCTTAAACCTACCTGGGAGCCACAGAGACATGATGAGAGTAGCTGAAATCATTGTCGCCTTTGTTTTTTGTTCGACTCAGAGGGTCGATTCGCCGCTTAATGGAATCTCGGATTTCCTTAGTTGCGATACTAAAGCAGTTATTTTTAATGGTTTCGAAAGAAGAGTTGGTCCAAACCCTGACTAACTATCTGTTTCGTGATATTCGCCATTATTTTCATGATATTATTTCCGAGAAATGGAACCGTGTAAAGTCATTTGAATTTCTTAGCGAATCACACGGCTCTATAAACAACTGGCGTGCTTGGCGGAAATTGCATGTAAAATTTCCCGAAAACAGAGCAAGGCCCGACCCGCTCGAGATTCCTTTTAAGGTAGCCCAAACGTTTAACGTAAGAAATGAACTTAAAGATGCTAAAAAAAAAGCCTGCTACAGGAAAGCCACACGTTTATTTCTGACGGAGGTATCGCAGTGCGATTTTTCGCAATATTGTGACGTCAAAATTTCGTTGCGTTGTTTCTTTTTCTAAGAAACTGTTCTACATTGTTGGTTTAAAATTGGAACAATGACATTTCTTCTCGCTGTGTTTTCAAAGAGAGGAAGACGCCAGTCTATCCAGCTGTTGCTTTCAGCTTGTTGTTTGCTTTAGAAAACCATCATGAAAACGCCTTGAGCTAGATAGAGAAATATGTTTCTCCAAAACGAAACACTGATTCTTGCAGCAGAAGCCAGGTACCATGCTCAATTTTCGCAAGCATTTCAAAGTTTATTTTTACGTGTTTATTTTAAGTCTTCCGATGGACTAACGGCCTAACGATGGACCTCTGAACACCTTGAGATTGACAAAGCTGGTAATTAGCCAGGTTTAAGTGGATTATAAATTACTCCTTTATTTTGATCACTGAATGCTTTTCTCAGAATAACAGGAAATATTTAAAGATTAACTGATGTACAAAAAATTCCTAATGTTCAAATTCTAACAAACCTTTAATAATTAATTAGTCACATAAAGAGGACGTAAACAGCCAGAGGGCCTAAGGAAAGTGCGAGCTGTAACAAATAATACCTAGAAATCATTATCATTGTCAAGAGTTCCCATGCGGCAGGAAGACGTAAACAGCGGGAAAGCAACATGGATCGAGGGAGCCTTTGTTGCAGTGTTTTCCCTCGTTTCGATTAATTCTAAATATCAACTGATTTCTAGATAGGAGAAGAGAGATGATAAGTTTTGAGATCGGTAAAGAAATAGAGAAAGATGTTTTTCGTCTTGTCACGAGCGTGTGACAAAGAGAAACTTCTGAGTGCCCATGAGGAATCGAGCCTCAGCCCTTCGGATTCCGTGTTCCGATGCTCTACCATTTCTTGTAAGTCGCCGTTGACTGTTGCGAATCTAATTCCTCTGAAATTTGCTGGCAAGCAATGGAGCATTGTGCCTTGGAAATAAAATTAATCTCTTTCACGTCTGATAGGTGACAGTATGCTCAGTATTTTCATTTTCGACAACCGTTATTAAACGCGAACTCGACTTACTGTCTGATTTTCGGAACATAACTGTTTTGGGATTCAGCTCCTCGTTAGAAATCTATTCATTGATATATACAGAGGTCGTATCTCTAAAGCATATTTGACTAGTATATTCTAGTAAATTAAAATTCTCGTGAGTATACTTTAAACTGGAGATTCTTAATTGCATTAGACTTCTATGGAAAGAAAGAAAGTCAGATGATAAATAAACGTCTCACGCCTCTTTCAATAAAAACTTTGTCGATTATTAAGATAAGTCGCTCGTAACTTGATAAAAGGAGAGGAATGAAGGAGGTATTTCTCATGAAATCTTTCATGTTTGAATACTGTAATCAATTTAGCTCTCACACTGTATAGGGTTAGGTCAACATTTCATATGAACAGAGTAGATGATAGATGTAACTTGGGTACATGCCACGATTGTCAACCCATAGTTTGAACAATTAAGAATGTTGTGAGAGAAGAGGTTATAACCTTTCGCTTTCGTAAGAATCGATCATGTAAATTCTATCGTCTGTCTTCCTTAAGAGACTAAAAAGTCGGTAATTTTCTATTTCTGGATTTTCGAGAAAAGCTTATAATTGTTTTACAGTTTATTCGTATTGTATTCCGCTTTCCCTTTCAAGTGTATTCGCCTGCTGCGTGTCTGAAACGCTGCGCAGTTTTTTGATATTAGTCAGGCTTGAATCTTTGTGTAATCCGTGTCTCTCTAACACACAGAAAGTCGCCGAGGGAGTTGGTGAAGTGTCGCCATTAATGAAAATGATATGTCGGTCGAATTTTATTTGGCTGGCGTCCTTCTTGCTTGCATCGAAGAGGATGGGAAGTTCTGGTAAGATAACTTCGTTTAAAACTCGCCAAAACAAGCACATTAATTCTTTTATTGACAGTTTATGGAGTTAGTTTGTAAGGCTGAACAAAAATATGATTCCTAATTACTGAAGGCTTACGTTTGTTACTATGGTTGTCCTTTCCTAATACTATTCAAAAACCATGTTATACAAATATCTGCAACTTTTCCACCTCATCAATGATAATTTGGAAAGTGATTCATTATCATAAGTGTTTCAGTTTACAAGAAATCTGATAGCAGAATTACTAATAAACTAGCTCCTGATGCAATGCTAGTAAATATTGTGGCCACAAAGAATCAGGGGTATGCGCTAGTATCCCAAATTTTGCGCCTGCGTACGTTTATCTTTATTTTACTTAATGTATGGTTACAACATGCCCTTTCATTGCAATTAATTATGCAAAAGCCTAATTCATAATTTTGTATTCAATCGTTGAAAAGCATCAAGAGTATCGAGAGCACCCTTGAACTCATTAAGAGTAATGAGTTCCCATTTCTTCATTCTCGCAATGATTTCGATCTTTTCAGCTGTCTGTATCTTAATGGCATTCGATTTTACTCGCGAATCCCGTTTTCTGTTAAAATAGTGTTCGAAGATGGAAACGTTAATGGAGTAGAGATTTACTTATGAAATTGGGACGCTTACGCGGAAGGTAGTTTTAAAAGTTACTGAATTGCAACTTCATCTCAACAAAACGTCAGGTTTGTAATGAGTTATTGTTCCTTTGATCGTCCATGTACAGTAGAGGCCTAGTAAAAACTTAAAAAATCGCGTTAAAAGTATAGCAATGCTATAATACCGTTGAAGTTAGGCTACTTTTCCGCTTTCGCTTTCGAAGAGATACTCAATGTTGTCCTCCAAGAAACATGTAGGACGAAGTTCATAGTCAAACTCATTCCCAAGGCAAGAGAACTTGTGGCATTTAATAACGGTGAAAAATGAGAGAAATTCACGGGGTAGTCGTCTTTAACTATCTTGACTGACAGTAATCTTTCTCCTGCAGGGAAACAGTCACAAAAATTGACATTAAAACCTGATGACCCCACGATCGTCTACAAAGGCGATAATGTTACTCTTGAGTGGCGGTATTACTATCCAAGTACAGGTTTTAAACTTATTGAGGTTTTCTTCGGTATTTGGACGAATCCCGTTTCAGCGGCAAGCTCAAAACTTATTGTAGTCAATAGCAGTGGCTTTGTTCAGTTCAGAAAGGAGTACAAGGCACGATTAAGTTGGAAAGGAAACATGACGTCTTCATCGGCTGTGTTTGTTCTTCACAATGTGCGACCTGAAGATGGGAACAAGTATTACGGGATACATGTGGAGTTTGACTTACACTATCCACTCATCGATACACTAAAGCTTCAAGTGAAGGAAACAAGTAAGAGACACCACCTTTATGATGATAAAAGATCTGAAACAGATATGTCCCCCGATTAGGGTATTTCGAGTTTTTCAAAGACCATAGTTACTTATCATAGTTTTTTTTTCTCCTTTGAGCTAGTTGCTATTCATGGCTGGGAATGATACTTTTCACTTGAATTAAATTCCCTTATTAACTGACTCTCTCATTTGGTGAGGCTTCCGTTTCTGTTTTATTCTCTAATTTTCTACCATAAGCTTTCTGAAGTGTTCCGATCATGATAGTTACCATGTTCCTATCTTAAATCGAACAAAACATGATTAGGCGTTTCAGATAATATAAAAGTCCTAAGCTCATATAGAAACCATAGCAACCAATTCACATTCATGGTTTCCCACCTTGAAATATTTTGGAACTTCCTTCAGGTCCTTGAACATGATGGCCGTTTCTTAGACCATGGTTTTCATGGAAGAGTTTAAGTGGAAGACTTTGTCCCCATTCTAAAACATGACACACACCCGTCTACTCCTGAGGTTATGTGACCTGGCGTTAACATAGAGGAAGAGCAGCATCTCGATGCATACAATATCCGAGTGGGAAAAATGGAGTGGAGTGAATTATTTTAGCAATTTAGAGAAAGTGTAGAATAGACATGTTGGTTAGATAACACCATTTTTGCAGAAATTTCCAAGAGATAAACGTGGAGAAATTTCTTTGCATGGTCACCGGTGAGGAAAATAAACTTTCTTACCTTGAATAGTCAGTCGATAAAACACGAGTAAGCAAGCAGAAATCTTCAGTTAGAGCTATTTGCTGGAAATTTTAGTTTATTTGCAACTTCTCCTTAATCTTTAACAGGTAAAAAACAGAGATTTACTTTGAAACCCAGCAACCCAACAATAGTCTACAAGGGCGAGAATGTTTCTCTAGAATGGCGCTATCATCATCCGAGACATATGAAGCTTGTTGAAGTTTTCTTTGGAATTTGGACGAATCCTGTTTCAGCGGCCGACAAGAGTCTCGTGGCCGTCAACAGTAGTGGTGCTGTTGAAGTGAGAGAGGAGTACAAGTCACGATTAAGTTGGAAAGTGAACGTAACCTCTTCGGTGGCTGTGTTTGTTCTACACAATGTGCGACCTGAGGATGGGAACAAGTATTATGGGATACATGTGGAGTTTGACTTACACTATCCACTCATCGATACATTGAAGCTTCAGGTGGAAACAAAACGTAAGGGTCGCATGGTCTGCGCAGATTTTGCAATGATTACCGAGGGCGAAGCACAACCCGGGGGTAACATGTAATAGTGTAGTTTGATCGTCCGGGTGAGTGTAGTCCTTAGAAGGACTGTTGTCGGTGGTGGTGACTGACGTTTCGACAACCCGAGCGGACGTCATCATGAGAGTCAGGTTGTCGAAACGTCAGTCACCACTACCGACAACAGTCCTTCTTAGGACTACACTCACCTGAACGATCAAGCTACACTATTACATGTTACCCCCGGGTTCAAACCATTTACTGTATTGCCTATATTGTTTGTTTTGCTTCTGTTGCTATTTTTGTCGTTTACTCTCGTCGGTGACGCTAGCCATTCTTTTTTTGAACACCGCAGATATTCCATTAATCAAGTTTGTCACATCTCCACCCCCGCTCAGGATAGGACAGTCTGTAAGCCTTAATTGTGTGGCAAACAAAAGTATGGCTCCTGTTAAAGTCGCGTGGTATAGGGAACAAAAAGTTTTGGAAAGTGGCATTTCTGAGGTGGTAGTCACCCGCAACATCACATCCGAGGACTTTGGCGAATATACATGTATCGCTGAAAACCACGAAGGAGAAGATAGAAAGAGTGTTTACCTTAGAGGTAGGATGAAAACATACAAGTTACTTGGTTATTTCAGCCTTTTAAATAAAATATTCGCTTGATATCTAATTTTTCACGTCTAGTTTCAGCGAAATCGTACCTCTTTTGTTTTTAGTATAATTTTCGTAAACAGTAGGTAATAGACCTAAAATTTGAGACTTGGGTGAATGGTTGGAATCTCAAACGGAACTCTTCTATGTCAATGAAATAAACTTTTCAGGCTCCTATTTTTTCATTACGTCAGTAGCAGAAAGTGAACCAACATATGGAACCACAACAAAAATTGATCAGACGGCCTTCCACACTCACTCAGGTAAAGAATCATCGTATTTCTCAGAAAGCTTTGGACTCTATTCAGAGATGATTAAACTTTACCTTACGCAGGGTGAAATATTTTAACGTATCTCCTCTCTGAACTTCTCTCACGAATACACCTAGAGTCTCTCCGATTCCGGGATAGACTGCCGGCCCATCAAAGGTTTTGCTTCTAAGTGAGATTTGTTTTATCCAATTCGTTGGATATGGAGGGGCCATCATCAAAACGGAGTTGACATGGCAAAACCACCCGCCTGCGTACCTGGATGTTTTGTAAGCGTAACCGCGGAAGAAGTGGCAAGCCGAAGCTCTGCTTCCCGATCTGGCAGTTCTGCCGCTTAAATTTTAATTGCAGGCAGATACACTGGTTATCCAATTACCAGTTACTCTCAAGATTGATTAAATCAATCTACACGTTTGACAACTGAATCAAAGATGATCAAAAAACTATGCATTTGCATCTACCCTAGTTTCTTCATGCCATCCTTCTAATAAAAGGCTCCTACCGTGTAAAACATGAACTGACCCAAATTAATTTTTTTTATGATTTTACAACAGAGATTGAAGGATCAGTAAAACCATCTGTCTTTGTTGTGGAAGGGACATTCTCACGGAAAACAGAAGGGTTGGTCGATGGATCCTTGGTCGCTATTATAATAGCACTCAGTGTCAGTGTAATCATCTTTACTGGATTGGGTTGTTTCTTGCGAATAAAATGCAAGCCCATGAAGGAAAATCCTGAGAGTAAGTACATGAAATATTTCTTGGCGAAAAAGAAAAGGTGTAGTGAGTGCGCCAACAACACAACCAAAATTTGGGGATCAACTTTAACACTAATTTTAAAAAGTTTTTAAAGAAGAAGCTGGCAAATTATTAAAACACGATAAGAAAAGTTTTATTCAGCTAGAACCACGCAAGTAAACAGAAAAGGGGAATTCTGACAGCTTTAACGGATGCCATAGTACATTTAGTGGGTTAATAGAGTTTTCTGACGATGATTGAGGAGTAATGGTCTCTTTCTATCAAAATCTCTCCCTTCCACAGGACACCAAGACAGGAGAGGGTGAGTGTCATTCATAAAATGGATTGAGGCCACTCCAACCTCGAGACCCATGGGCGGCCAGTCGATGTGGCTACTCAAGAACGTAATTAAGTGTGTGGCTGATTGATAGAACAGGCAATTCCAATGCAAATAATTTTAAAGAAAGCTTTCACTCCTCCGTTCATCACTTAGATGAATTAGCAACGCTGTTGATTATTTTGTGACTTAAAGCAAGTAATGCTGCTCAATTTTCTTCTAGAATAACAGCTTATTCATTTACACCAGAAATGGATCTCACGTCTGAAGCGGTAAGAGATATTTCATTAGAGAGGAGTAAGGGATGTTTCATTTAGAGCAGTGATCTGTTAAAAAATACTACCCTATTGTATGAGAATGGGGTTTGGCTGCACGCGCTACGAACTTTACTATTATTTGTACTGTCTTTTAATTTGCTTAAAAACTCTGTGATGTGCTCGTCTTTTCCTTTGGTTTAACTCTTTCGACTAGTACTAGTGACGAATGTTCCAAATTTGTAGGCCCAAGGTACTGTCGAAGAAAGAACTTCCGTTTTATCATCAGAAACACATTTTGGTATAGAAGATACTTCGTTCATGGCAGAACAACGAGAGACATCGATACGAAACACAGAAAGCATCTACAAGAAGCCAAGAGCATCGCAATGTTTGTTGTTGGCAACATTTAAACCTGAAATGAACCCTACAGCTCTTGAAACTAAACCATACGAGTTACCAACAGGGCCTAAAACATTTAATTCTTCCGAGGAATGTGAAAGGAGTAATAGTTCATCTCCAAGAACTTGTCTTTCTGAACATAACCTTCAACCTTCAGCCGGTTTTGAAAACACAGAGAGTGGCAGATTCAGCCACGGAGAGACCCAGATGGTGTGCTCAACACGCCCCCGGCCTAAGCCAAGGAAAAAATTCAATAGAAAAGCACCAGGAACATTACCTGTGGAATGTCTGCGAAGCAACCCTTTGTGTGATGAAGCAGGAGTTGAACACTGCGCACGCGCCAAAGTATCAGATCAAATAGATATTGACGGCTCCACTCCTCAAACTTTCCGCGAAAAAACGTCCTATCAAAATGCAAGCTTGCCAAAAGCCCTTTGCAAGAACGCAGCATATCAAAATTCATCTCAGCTGCTAACAGCAGTTCAGGTGGAGTCACCATATACCCTCGTGTTCAGCAACAAAAAATGGGAAGTTCCAAGTGATCATTTGTCACTGATTGAGCGAATTGGCGGTGGCACATTTGGTGAAGTGTGGAAGGGTAGAGGACTGGATGTTTGTGGTACTCAAGGCTGGTCTTTTGTCGCTGTTAAAATGCTGAAGGGTGCGTATGATGCGCTTCATTATTTTCAAAATGAGTAACATTTGTCACTGGCATGGGACAAGGGGAATTCAAAGGTCGATTTTATTAATGATTTGGGCCTGAATCATCGCGGTCGATTATTCTAATAACTGAGGTCTGCACGGAGAGCTAAAGCAAGACCGTTACAGCAATTGCGATCAGTGTAATTAATAATAACTAGCACTCTTTTGCAGAAAACTTCTCAAAGTCAGACCTGACGGATTTGTTGTCTGAGCTGGACTTGCTGAAGAAACTGAAACCTCATCCTAACGTGATTCAACTTTTGGGCTGTTTAACCAAGGATGTTATTCGATGTGAAGGAAGGCGCACGTTCAGTAAGTTTCTGTGATCAGTATTGATTAAAAACTATTGACTAATCATCACGAATTACACTTTTGACAGGACGGTGTAATACCGCGTATTGTGATCATCGAGGTAGTCCTGAGGTAAATCCAAGCGTCCTGATTGGTTCTTACTTAGTGCATGTTTTTCCATACGGACCGTTTCCAAAGAAATGATCAAAAGCTGCGTAAATCTGGTGGTGAAAGCTGGCAAATTCAAAATAGACAGGTTTGGTGCGAGTCCCATATAATAAACTACTGACTAACCGCACTTGTTCAAGCCAAGCTGGGGTGTTTTGGCCCTCGGTCGTTTTTGCACAGACGTCGCTGCGATTTGTTTGTACTGCCACAACCTTGGGCCAGTATTCCCCAGTACGGCCCTCACGTCCGGTAAGTAAGAGGTTAATTTTACAGCACTGACTTCTTACAACTACTGGCTTTGGAAAACCTAAAATGTCATTGTTTTATTACAGAACCACCCCTAGTTATTCTGGAGTTTGTCGCTCACGGAGATCTTCTTGGGTTTTTGAAAAGAAGTAGAGGGGAGACAGATGATTATTATGATTTGAAAAGGAAAGAAATTCCAAGAAAAATATCCATACAACAACTTTACAAATTCGCGTCTGATATCGCGCGAGGAATGGAATTCATTTCAGCTCATCAGGTACACGTTTCAACAGATATCACATATACAATTGTATACTCTCTATCTCGGGTGTGTTGATTACGAAAGCAAAAACTTAATGCCGTAATGATCTTTATTTTGCTTATTTGGTATGTATTCGCAAGGGCACTAATTATATAGAGGAAAATGATTGGAGCACTCTTAATGGACCAGTAGTTATTTTTTTTATCGCCGGGGAGGAGGGGGGGTGTGGCCCGAAGGATTCCTGTTGTGGTATAACAACAAAATTTACCATTTACCTGATCCCCCCATAAGGCTCTATAATATCATTATGACCCCCACTCCTTATTGGCACCCCTGAAAACTATGTGTCTCCTCCTTAAACCCTCCACCCCTCCCCCCAGGAGGTAGATCATGAGTCGTCCCTGAGCGTAGTTAGCAGGATGCGTGCGGTAAGTTGTACCTTTGCATCTTACTCGTTGAGGACATGATTTGGTCTCTTTTTGATAATCGAAAAACTTTATCTGAGAAAAATCAAGGCAGTTTCCGATTCACTTTCCTACGCACATCTGAAAAGTTTTAATACTAAGTCATTTAGTTCGTACTTTTTCCCCTCAGCTCATTCACCGAGACTTAGCAGCGAGAAACGTTTTAGTTGGAGAGGGTCTACGCTGTAAAATCACTGATTTTGGAATGGCGAGAGACCTGGGAAGAGGTGAAATATATGTCAGGAGGTCTAATGTAAGTACGCATGATCAGTGATTGCCTTACTCTAAATTTCGTTTCCACCAGAGCCTGCTCGTTTCTATCCTAAGCCTACCACAGGCCTTAGCAGAATGATCAAAAAAGAAACCACCGTATTGACGCATTACCTAATATACATCTTTGCAACTCTACAGGGAGTTGTGCCGGTAAAGTGGATGGCAGTCGAGTCCTTGACAAAACAAGTTTTTACCATAAAAAGTGACGTGTAAGTTGATGTAGAATATGTGTAGTTGTAGAATGAACTTCCCAACACCAAAATGTTATTTACCTTACCTTACTGTATGACCTTCTACTTCTACCGCACCTAGTGATAATTAGCCCTCTGATTTTTTATTCTTATCTTCACAACTAGACTTGACAAACTCGTTTTATCGACATTTGATTATATTGTTTCGCTAAGGAACCTGGTTGTTTTGCTCCTAGAGAATTGTATCATGACATGCAGTCATAAGTACACCTTTATTCGTAATTTAACCCACTGGCTTCTGTCGTTTCTGCTCCAGGTGGAGTTACGGTATTGTTCTGTACGAGATTTTTACCCTCGGTAAGTGAGAACAGGCGATAAATCAGTAGCAGGTCCTTAAAGAGACCATACCTTTATCCTCTCTTGTTATGATACATTCTACTTTATACATACATCCTACCCATTATTACTAGTCTTTTTAGAATAGTCCTTTATGTAACGATCGCAGGTGGAAACCCTTATGAGGGAATGTCGGGAGAAGAAGTCTTCCAGTACGTTGCAAATGGTCACAGGTTACGAAGGACCTCAAAAGTCAGCCCAGAATTGTAAGTAGACCAATACAACGCTCTCTTTCTTAATCTGCATTTATCTACTGCGCGCAGCGAGGACTCGAGTGCTGCAAAGTTTACCCATCGCCTCAAGATTATAGGGCGTAACTCACTAAAACATAAATTGAGGTAAACTTCTAACGGGAATATCGTAGTTCACATTTAGTGACAAGTAGAGAAAATTTAAGAGGGCTTATAGCTGTTGAAAGGGAACTTGGTTATGAACCACCATTCAAATGAAGTTTCTATTTTTAATTTTATATATATTGTGCAATGGTTGACCTAAGTCTTTACACCCTAACATAACTATTACATATATTCCACGCTGCTCTCTATATTATTCCTGTTGTACATATTATTCCTATTGTACTGAGAAATAGAATTTGTTGAAAACTTAGGAGATTCTTAAATTGGTGATCATTTGCTTTATTCTGATGACCTTCATAGCTGATTTAAGGCTGATATTGTAAGGAGAAATTGGAAGCCAGTCACTCTTAGAGGTTAATGGACTAAAACCGGCGAACAGATGCAGTTTGAAAGTATCTCAATTAGTCCGTGTGATTGTTTTGTTTTGTTCCTGCTGTTGTTGTTGTTGTTGTTGTTGTTGTTGTTGTCATTGTACGTTTTATTGTTTGATGTTTATGCCTTTCTTCTGTTGTAGATATGACCTGATGCTGCAATGTTGGCAGGAGGACCCTTTCAGGCGTCCAACATTTGGCGCGATCGCATCTTGGACCGAAACTCTTGCTTAATGCCCCTGAAAGCAGGAATGACGCTCGTTCCAATGTGCACTGATAGGTGCGATTCGTAAAATGATATATGACTGTAGTTCAGAACTCGATCTAGAATCCCAGGCAAAAAAGTAGACTAATGAAATCTTATCGGATAATGGCGGATACACCGTGCTACTTGAATTCCTCACATCGGCGCCTTTCCCTTGAATAGTGCAGAGATTACTACAACTGACCTGGAGATTCTTTCCGCATCCGCTAGACTACCGAGATCGAGTAGGTCTGTATGACTATAGAGAGTAATTCAGAAAGTAACCAAGAGTATGACAGAGAGTAACCAAGAAAAAAATTGGCGAAAATTACAGTAGAAAGTAATACAGAAGCAAAAAAATTTCAGGTAACATAAGGAGGAATAACAACGTGAGTCTACAAATCAGTCTTGGTAGCGCAATGTCCATGATGAGCTCGAAAAGGATAACACCAGCCTACGAGAAGCAAAAAAGAACAGCGAAAAACAGCGTCCAGCGGAGATCCATAGTTGACGCTCTATGCTCCCCAGTAAGAGCGAACATGGCCCAATCTATACCTGATTTACACTAGAACAAGAAGTAGTGGAAACCGTCTCTTCCAGGAGAACACCACTCATGTGAAACGCTGAAATTTCCACTGAAAATAAGCTAAAATACAGCGATATAATTGAATGTCTACCACATAATCAGAAGCATATCTCGAACATAGAGAGATTCGTTTTTTATGTGGGTCTTCTTCATAATTCAAAATTACTTAGGCGAAGAATTCACAAGCAAGCCTTATTCCTCGATCACGCGTCGTGCAGTCAAAATGTTGCGATCTCCACTGTAAAAAGGGACCGAGAAAGCGTGTCCCTCATATTTAGAGAGGTTCAATTAGACTAGTACTTCAATTGTGAGTTGTAGTGGAACGAAAGGGCATTATTTGAAATGTGGAAATGGCTCAAAGTTTCATTCAAGGATTAAACAAACGACGTGTATCAATGAATCATTTTCCTCTTGGTAAATTAAATTTTATTTTCCCATGTACTCTTGTACCATGATACCCCTATCAATAACAAGCGGTATAAACAGCCAGTGGAGATTGCCAGAACAGGTATACGCCATCCACTCTGTACAGCCTTTTCTTTTCCGTTGAAAGCTAAAGCTGGGCCAGATAAGAAAGTTGAATAAATTAGACAGTGATATTTTCAGAATATCGTTGCTTTTACGTTCCCTAACATCACTGATCCTATCGACTTTTTTCGCGGATTGTGCATCCTATTTTTACATTCATGAATAAGGTAGACTTTTCTTCTCAGTAAAGGCATATTGTGTTTATATAATAAACAAAATAATACATGGTTGCTCGTAGAAATGGAATTTCTCTCTCCGTGTTCAACCCTATATCTCACTCGCTCGCTGCTATCAGGTTGAACAGCTGAAAAGGAGTTCCGTATCTGTGCGCGCCCGTGCATTATTCCATATTTATAACTTTGTAACTCCAAACAAAATCACTTATTTAGAGCACAAAATATTCAGGTTTGCTTGACTCCTCACTTTTGTAGTCGGTCCTCACTGCCCCTTCTCCTGCTGCAAAGTTTATTTTCATACTCGTACTCTTTCCAGTTTTTTCTCGCTAAAATCTAAGTGATGCCTCCCGAGTCTCATTTTTATTCTCCCAGAATAAAACTTCTGTTTTCGTATCCTTTCCTTAAGTAAAAAGTACCTTTTGCCTTTTAAGAAAGCCGCGGAATGCACTTGCTTAAAACTTCAGGGTAACAGTACAAGCCGTTTTTCAATGAGGAATCTTTAATAGAAATAAGTATTCCAACGGGCAGTAAACTTACTGGGCCGACTAATGTGGTTTTTCACTGTACCGTTACTCTTAGGCTGTTCACTGGGCTTATTCTCCTCGGTGGTGACGTAATCTTTTGTATGTGTATGTGACACATGTGGCAGGGATACCGTTGGAGTCATTGCAGTTGGGCTCCTATCTCGCAGTAAAAATTCTGTAAAAATAAAATATATGTTAAACGTCTGTTACACCCTCTAGATACTGTCCATATTACGTATTCAAGAGTACGAGAGAAAGTACTCAGCTTACCTTTCTTATAGACTTTGATCCATAAGGTGTCTATTTTGTCGTCTGATTTACGATAAACAGATATTAGGTAGCTTCCAAAATAAGGATCTGAGATATTTCTCATTACAATAATGATGTCACCAGATGCATTCACAGTCAGTGAGTAGTGTTCCTGACATTCCGTTTCCGTGAGGAATACATCTTTGTAACAGCGGTATTCTCCTTTCCGAAATCTCCCAATAACATTGGAAGCGTTGCTGATTGCCATTACAATTCGTTCAATATCATGTTTTCCAACTGACGACCATTTAATGGTAATGTTTCCACACGGAGTTACTGTTGAGAAAAAAATTATGGTGATCAGTAATTCCTTAACCCTTTCACTCCCAATATCTCATTATTAATTCTCCTTACTGGCAGACAAACAATTCTTATGTGGTCAATTCGAAGAATTTGGTATGGGTAAACTTGTAGTTGTCGATATTTCTTTATCATCCAACCGGACCGAGAAGAGTAAGAATAATGTGTGAATCAATATTGGACAGTCGGTTATTTTGAACTGTACTAAAAAAAATGTTTAGCTGGTTGGCTGCAAGTGCCGCGCTTTTCTATCCCGCCTAATAAGAAATAACATAAAATAGAGCAGTTGGATAACAAGATTTAAAACTAAGATTGTGCACAACTCGACATCTCGCTCGTTCGCTGCGCTCACTCGTGAGCTATCGAGTTCATATCTACGCGCGCCCATGTATTATTCTCTATATATCATGCGAAAATCGAATTAAATAATTGTTTTATTATGCATTTTTTAAACAATGTACCGACGAAGACACTTCTCTCTGAGTGTACAGAAGCTTGAAACCACTACACAGACGAGAGGCTTGGAAACTAGGCAGACATGTACATAATAAATCGTGTAAATACATGATTTATCATGTCAGCTTCACACGCTATTGTGTATTGATTGAATGCTATCGACCAATCAGACTTTTTATAGTAATTCTAATGTCTAATAACATTTACTATTTATTATTAGACAGAGGAGAGCCACCCAGTTTGCATCCATGTTACAAAGAGGGTGTCAATGGAGTTAATTACAATTTCCTGGTGTCATAAATTAAAGACAGGAGTACTTACCACGAACCGTCACATTATTAGCATTATAATCGACATGTATTTGCTGCAGTGCTTCTGTAAAGTTAACTACAAAATAAATAACAACAACCAACATATGAATTAAGAATTACAAGAGAACAACCATCAAGACATTGAACAAAAAAAAACAACAACAACAACAACAAAGGCGAAAATAAGTGCTTTTAGCCCTCAAATATTTAAAAAAAAAATCTTGCCTTTGAAAACAGAGAATGTGCGATGGATTCTTTCAGATGGTTAGATAAATTTTTAGGCACGACACTCATAGAGCTAACACATGTTTCAAAGCTGTGCTTTTAAAGTCAATCTATACAAACAACGCAATAAAACCCTGTATTTGTAACAAAAAACGATATAGTATTTACAAAATAATTTGGCTTTGTTATGAAATATTAAGTTCTTTTATAATTAGTTAGTCAGTTTAGAATGATTTGGTCTTTTGTTTGTATTGAGAATTTAGTTACAGTATGAAGTCATAGTCCGAGGTTATTTAGTTTTAAGTTATGGTGTATGAGTTTCCCATAGGATGCGCCTAGTTTGTGCTGACCTTGCTTTGAACCCACACAAAAGTTTTTGTTTTGGCTAACGTAGTCAGAGATCGGATGCATTATGATTAAGTACTTTCTTGTTCATTTCGAGCCTTTACATCATCAACAAATTATCTTGAATTATAACCACACGATTAGAGTCGAATAAGAGGCCAAAAAGAGCGTCTATTGTCGAAGAATGGGGTGAAATAAGTGCGATTGATTATGGACGACTATTTCAAACGGATATAGGCACGCCGGACAGCTTCTCTTGAAACAAGTACTTTGCGAAGCGTCGGCCCCGAAAAGGACTTTTCGATTTTAAAATGAATTTCGGTCGTTTGAAGCTATAAACTTACCTTTAGACAAACAGTAAACAGTGAATGTCCATTGTACGAAGGCTGTGCAATATTTTACACGTTTCATCGCTCCTACATGTGCTGAGTCAGCGCAACAAAGATAAAGCCTTAAGCTAAAATTCTTGAAATTCTGCGGTAACCTGTTTTCGGTCACGCGATCAGAGATGAATAGAAACGATATGATCGGAAATGAGGGGATACATTAGTCTTTTAAAGCCCTTGAGAAGGGTAGGCTCCCACCAAAAGCTCGGAGTTAATTTTTACTCGAGAGAAGTAAATATCGTCAAAAAAAATAAATCATTACAAGTTGTTGTGTTTGAAAATCATAATGCACAAAATCAACGTATGCTTTTATTATTGCATTTGAACATCAAAAACGTAGTTCACACTGTACTGTTAAAATTACATATTAACAATAAAGACGGTAGCTGATCGCCCAAACTTTTAAGTTGTAAAAGAGCTAAACTGATTGGTTGACCGCTGAAGAAGACAAATTATTCCTTCTTTTGCGAAGATCGCTTCCTTGAGCGAATCGTGTGTGCACTTAAAAGTTACGTTTTCATTTCAACTGCTAAACCCAGAATCGTACATCCAAACAAAACGTTATAAAATCACAGTTATGACTACTAAAAATTAACACGAGTTGCCAAGGAATAAGGTGGTGATTTTATAGGAATTTTAACATGATGCTGGGATCGTGGGGTGAAATGAGATGGCGTTAAATACCAAAATATGAGTTAACGATATTTTGAACAAGTCTATAGTTATTTCGTCACGTAGGTTGGTTCTTTTATCGATTCACAAACTCTCGTTTTTCTTTGAGCGCACCGTAAACATAAACATCCAGTGTCGCTGCCTCGATTGCGTCTGACTCAGTGACAACATAACATACGAGAAATCAGCAAAATACGAAAAATCACGTGACATAAAATCACGTAACTTAGAAATCGGCTACAAAAGTGGCTCCAAAATATGAGTTAACGTTTGAACTTGTCACGTATCGCTTCACCCCGTGGGAAGGTTTTGTCTCATTTGGCAATAATACTTTACAAGAGTCTCAGTACAAATTGCAATACGAGGAATTAAATTGAAAAATGTGCTCATCCAAGACTGACCGATGTGGGACTGGTACTTGATTTTCCCACGAAATAACTCACTTTTCAGGCCGCCATTCAGCTGTCTGGTTGAGTTGGCGTTTCATTGTGCGCCATTTGTTCGCTATTATTTTGTACTCCAGTGAAAGCCATTTCTTCGCCATTACTTCCTATTGATTTTGATGGTGTAGGCTTTTTACGACATTTAAAATAATAAAATAAACCGGCAGTTATGACAAATGCGATGAGTAACAGAACCCCTAGTACAATCCCTACTGTCTTCCCTCCTGGACCTGGAAAATAAGCCAGCAGGTGAGAATGATATGCAAGAAGTGAGCACGCAAAAAATGAAAAAAAGCTAATGTCAGAACTACTCACTACTGGTATTTCTCCTTACTGTTGTAGACGGAGAAACTAGTCGTGTCCTAGTTTATGAGCAGGTATATTATAAATATTAACAATGATAAACAAGCATCGGTTCAACCTCAAAACTTCAAGCCTATTCAGAGGCGTTGTGCATATTCACAAATGCATTCTGCGAGGTAGCGAACGTATTGAAATCCAATATGGCTGCTCAAATGGTGAGACTTTGTAACAAATAGGCTTAGAAGTTTTGATGCGGACTTTGCTGGTTGTCCCTATATATTTTGAAGGCTACTTGCTCTTTATGTAGACCATAGAAATTTTGAGTTCGAGGGAATTTTTATCTCTAATATTTAGGAGCAAGTTTTAAGACTTTCTCACTATTTGAAAGTGCCATGTCGCACTTTGTGGCTTTATCACTGTTTCCTAGATGAAATTTACTAATATTTTTTTATTGCTCTAGGAAGCGTTACGTTCACTTCCGGCCGGAAAGAAATTGGAAGGGTTATGAAATGATAGCCAGAATTGCTTGAAACAATCCAAACATCAGAAGCGAAGAATTAGGGGACTTTTCTCGAGTTTACATGCTCATCTGGACACAAGGGGGCCTTGGTCTAGGGTTTACATAGAGTAAAATGATTTTTAGCGTGGCTTGTCGTTCGTATATAAGGAGCTCATATCTAGCTTTTGATTCACTCTGACGAGAGGTTGACGCTCAGACAGACATCAGCTTTTAAATCTCTTAATGGCGGCCAATCACATTATCAAGGTGATTACTCTCCTAGCAACGCTTACCTGAGCTGCTGCTGGGGCTGTAGACTTGAGTCGACTGAGGAACTGGACTTGTCTTGTTTTCTGCGGAGTCATATAAATTAAAACTGACATGATATCATTTGTGCATTTCAACATGAATTTAGAAAAAAAAACTAATATATGCATAGCAAGATTAGTAATTCATGACAGATGTTGTCCAGATTAAACCATGCAAGGCAGTCTATGTCGATGTTACTTCCGTCATCCATTCCGGTGAAATTATCACGTAGCTTGTGCATTTCTTTACGACTGGAGCAGTGTATGAAGATCCAACGCTTACCAATTCACACAAAAGACTGCATCTTAAAATAGTAATCAATTCCAAGAAATCCGAGGGCACTTGGTCCAATACTTTCGAGACAAGCATTCAAGAGGGTTCCAGCTCATCGGGCAGTGAAAAAGTTGTGCACGGTTTGCTTATCCAGAAGCGTTGCGTGCAGCAATGATTTGTGTGTTACATAGTACGAATGACTACTTCCCCGGGGAACGCCAGCTTACCTGAGTTGCTGCCGGAGCTGTAGACTTGAGTCGACTGAGGAACTGGACTTGTCGTGGTTTCTGTGGAGTTATCTTACTTTAAGACTTCTCATTACTGAAAGTGCCATATAGCACTTTGTGGCTTTTATTATTGTTACCTATTTGACATTTGCTATAATTTATTTTCTTTTTTATTGCACCAGGAAGAGTTACCTTCACTTCCAACCGGAAGGAAATTGGGAGGATTATGAAATGATAGCCGGAATTGCTTGAAACAATAAGAACATCAGAAGCAGAGCATTTTATATTTCAGCATTAGAGACATTTTCTAGCGTTTACAAAGTTCAACTGGACACGAGGAGTTATACAAACGCGGGACTTCGTCTCGGGTTTACATTGAGTAAAATGATCTTTAGCGTGGCTTGTCTTCCGTATATGTGAAGCTCATATCTAGCTGTTGATTCGCTCTGACGAGAGGCTAACGCTCGAGATGTCAGCTTTTGAATCTTTTAATGGCGGCCAATTACATTAACAACGCAGGTAAGCCGTCAATAAAGCCGTGTGTTACAGACTAAAGGTAACTACTCCCCCTGGCAACGCTTACCTGAGCTACTGCTGGGGCTGTAGACTTGAGTCGACTGAGGAGCTGGACTTGTGGTTTCTGTGGAGTTATCAAAAACAAAACTGACATGATATCATTTGTGCATTTCAACATGAATGTTTTAAAAAAATCAGTAATAGATGCATAGCGGAATTAGCAATTCATGGCATGTGTTGCCCAGACTAGACCATGCAAGGCAGTCTATGTCAATGTCACTTCCGTCATCCATTCCGCCAAAATTATCACATGACTTGTGCATTGCTTTACGATTGGAGCAGTGTATGAACATTCAACGCTTAGCAATTACACAAAAGACTGCATCTCTATACAGAAATAAATTCCAAGAAGTCCGAAGGTACGAGGTTCAATACTTTCGAAACAAGCATTCAAGTGAGTTTGAGTTCCAACTCATCGGGAAGCGAAAAAGTTGTGCACGGTTTGCTTATCCAGAAGCGTTGCGTTCATAAATGATTTGTGTGTTACAGAGTACGAATGACTACTCCCCCTGGCAACGCCGCCTTACCTGAGCTACTGCTTGGGCCATAGACTTGAGTCGACTGAGGAAATGGACTTGTCGTGGTTTCTGTAGAGTTACCTAAGACATAAATGATGATATTTCAAATCGTGCATTTTACGTATGAATTTAGTAGAAAAGTTATAAATATATAGTGGGATTATTCATTCATGGCAGAAATTTTTTTTTAATAAACCATGCTGGGCAGACTTAGTTTTCACAATGATTTGAAAAGTGTAGATTTCCGCCACAGAAATGCTCAGTTTCAAGGGAAAAGAAAGACTGTGGTCCTGAATACAGATGTCCTTTCCGTTAATTGTACAGAATTTAATATAATATGCTTTTGAAATATATTTATTCATTGCTGTAATAAGAAGGAGCAAAAAGCTTTCATTAATTTCTCAGTCTGCCCGTCTCAAAGTTAGTTCGAAAGATCTAAAGCACAGAACTGCGAAAAAATAACAACACCAAAGTCTCAAGTAGTTTAATGTGGTAGTTACTTGGGAATAAAATAGTAGATAACCTTACTGAGATATCTCCTTGCTCTCTGATGGGGAACAGTAGCAGGATACTTTGATAATAAAGATGACACATATACATTCCTTACCTTCTACTTTCACATGTATCACTTTAAGGCATTTCGCTGTTTTCTCGTCTGGATGTAAATTACCGCTGTTAAATTTAGCCCAGACTGCGTATTGACCACTATCATTAATAGTGGTATGGAAAATCTCCACCAGTAACAAATGAGTTTGGTTATCTCTCCTAAATTCTACCTTCCCCTTCACACAAAGATCCGACAATGAACCAGAACAATCGCCTTTCGATTTATCTTTTGTCATGTGAGCAAATTCCATAGAGTTTTTCTGAGCACGATAGACTCGGAAATCGTTTAGATTCTCATCATTTGATGCGTTGAAAGGAAGGCTTGCGTTAACTCCTGAATTGACTGCAAATGTATCTGTAGAATCAAGACAGACAGCTCCTGCAGTTGCCATGATAGCTGAAAAATTCAAATACAAAAATTTTAAAAGCAATCTTCAGAGTTTTAAATTTTATGTTATTCAGATACCCGAGTAAATTTAGACTTTATTGCATTGATGTAATGATACGGATCTCTCGGCTGGTGAATAACATATCTATATTTATAACAAACAACGATATAGTATTTACAAAATAATTCGGCTTTGTTATGAAATATTAAGTTCGTTTATAATTAGTTTGTCAGTTTAGAATGATTTGGTCTTTTGTTTATTTTGAGAATTTAGTTACTCTATGAACTGATAATCCGATGTTATTTGATTTTAAGTTATCGTCTATGAGTTTCCCATTGGATGTGCATAGTTTGTGTTGACCTTGCTTTGGACCCACGGGAAAGATTTTTTTTTTGGCTAACGCAGTCAGAAGTTAATTACGTTGACCGGAAGCATTATGATAAAGTACTTTGTTGTTCATTTCAAGCCTTTAAATCATCAACTTATAACCAAATTATCTTGTTGTACTCTACCACTGACGCAGCCCCACAGTTTCTTTAGAAACTTACTCCCTTTATTCAGTGATAGTATTTAAACCGTTGTTTATTTTATCAGCCGAATCGGAATAAAACGCAGGCCCACAACACAACCGTCACGGTTATAACAAATACCTCATGGTAAAACTAAAATGCCGGCTCACCGCAAAACCAAACTGGGACTCACGACAAAACCAAAGAGCTCTTGGTTTTGAATCATAAGCACACAATTAGAGTCGAAATAAGAGGCCAAAAAGAGCGTCTATTGTCGAAGAATGGGGTGAAATATGTGCGATTGATTATGAACGGCTATTTCAAACGGATATACAGCTTCTCTTGAAACGAATACTTTGCGAAGCGTCGGCCCTAAAAGGGACTTCTCAATTTAAAGATAAATTTAGATCTTTTGACGCTCTTAACTTACCTTGAGATAGAAAGTAAACAGTGAATGTCCATTGTACTAAGGTTGTGCAATAGTTTACACGTTTCATGGCTCTAACATGTGCTGAGTCAGCGCAACAAAGATATTACAAAATATCAGTCTTGATCGCGTCACGCGATCAGGAATGAATAACTAATTAGTTGACACTTTACTATTGAAATTAAATATTAACAATAAAGATGGTAGCTAATTGCCCAAACTTTTAAGTTTTAAAGAGCTAAACTGATTCTTTGACCGCTAAAGAAGACAAATTATTCCCTCTTCTGCTTAGATCGCTTACTTGCGCAAGGTTGTCCCGCACTTTGCTCTTCCGTTCACGTCAGTCGGTGATCGATATGAGGTTATTGCTAAGAAAGAAAATCGACGCAGGTCGCAAGTTTAAAATTTTTCTAAAAATTTTGCCATTATCTTTGCTCTTATTGATCATGGAAATGATTTCGAAATTGTTCAAAATCAAAGTGGAACCACAGGAAACAGTTGTGTGATTGCAATGAAGATGTCATATTTTCATTTCAACTGCTAAACCCTAGAGTCGCCGAGAATCATTTATACCTGTACATCCAAACAAAATTTTCGCGTTATGGAGAAAATGTATCCAGTGGAGTGACGGTTAGGACTGCTAAAAATTAACACGAGTTGCCAATGAATGAGGTGGTGATTTTATAGGAATTTTAACATGATGTTAAGACCGTAGGGTGACTTGCTTGAGGTGCCTTGGCCATGAGATATGCAGAATCAACAGGTTAAATTCATGGAAAGTGAGAACGATTCTTTGATAATGATTAACAAATACGTTAATTATTAGGATATTTTAGATTTAGGCCCGGGGATGAAATAGAGAAACCTGCCTTTTTACAAGTCTTCCATTATTTTGAGAAAAAAAATTCCTAAAGTGGCTACTGAGGTTGATTCTTGTATCAAAGATCACAGATTCTCGTTTTTGTTTGAGTTCAGTGTAAACATAAACATTCAGTGATTCAAAATATAAATGAAAGCAAACACCCAATCAACAACATCATATAACATTTCATTTGTTGACCATGGTTAGGATTAGTTTTCAGAATACGCTCAAGCCAAACAACCAATCTGAAAGGTCTCTTTACGACAGAGTCTGGCGCAAAGAGTATCCTAATCAGTTGCGTGCTGACACTCGCAGCGCTACGTACGAAAAATCAGGTAACTTAGGAATCAGCTACAAAAGTGGCTCCAAAATACGAGGAAACGTTTGAACTCATCACCTATCGCTTCACTCCGTGGGAAGGTTCTGTCTCATCTGGCAATAATACTTTAGAAGAGTCTTAGTACAATTTACAATACGAGGAATTTAATTGAAAAAATGTGCTCATCCATGACTGACCGAGTCGTCCCGCTGGTACTTGATTTTCCCGCGAAATTACTCACTTTTCTGCGCTCTTCCATAGAAACGTATACTTCCAGTTGTGCGTTAGGCTTACTTTCTGTCAAATTCGTTCCCATAGCTCAATAGTCAGGAAATATATAAATTTTTCAAATGGATTTTTATTTGACCACAGTTTCCGTAAGAGTAACGGCATAATAAGGAGAATGAAAATAATAAAATGCGGAATGAAAGAAAATAACAATTTCTCTCCCTTCAGTGGTTCTTTGGGCCATTCAGTTGTCTGGTTGAGTTGGCGCTTCATTGTGAGCCATTTGCTCGTTATTATATTATACTCCAATGAAATCCATTTCTTCGCCATTACGTCCTGATTTTGATGGTTTAGGCTTTTTAAGACATCTAAAATAATAGAGTAAACCGCCGGCAATTATGAGCAATGTGATAGCTAAAAGAACCCCTAGTACAATCACTGCTGTCTTCCCTCCGGGACCTGGAAAATAAAAGATACAATATTCACGCTGGTAAGTAAGTCAGCTGGTGAGAATGATATGCAAGAAGTGAGCACGCAAAAAATTAGAAAGAGCTGATGTCAGAACTACTCACTAGAGGGAATTTCTCCTTACTGTTGTAGACCTTAGTTGTTTAGTGTCCTAGTTTATTAGCAGGTATCTTTAATATTAACACTGATAAACAAGTATTCGGTTCAATCACAAATCTTGAAGCCTATCCGGAGGCGTTTTGCATATTCACAAATGTATTCTGCGAGGTAGCGAACTTATAGGAATCCAATATGGCTGCTCAAAAGGTGAGATTTTGTAACTAATAAGCTGAGAAATTTTGATGCGGATTTTGTTGGTTGTCCTTATTATTTGAAGGCTACTTATCTTTATGTCGTTGGTACAATTTTAATAGACCATGAAATTTTGAGCTCGAGAGAATTTTTTATCTTTAATATTTAGTAGCACTTTGTGGCTTTTATCATTGTTTCCTAGATGACATTTACTATTATTTTTTTATTGCTCCAGGAAGCGTTACGTTCACTTCCAGCCGGAAAGAAATTGGAAGGGTTATGAAATGATGGCCGGAATTGCTTGAAACAATCCAAACATCGGAAGCAAAGAATTAGAGGACTTTTCTCGCGTTTACATGTTCATCTGGACACGAGGGGGCCGGAAACATTCGAGAAGTTATGCCAGCGTGGAACTCAGTCTAGGGTTTACATAGAGCAAAATGATCTTTAGCGTGGCTTGTCGTTCGTATATGAGGAGCTTATATCTAGCTGTTGATTTACTCTGACGAGAGGTTGACGCTCGAGATATTAGCTTTTGAATCTCTTAATGGCGGAAATTACATTATCAACTCAGTTGAACTGGATAAGCCGTCAATAAAGCCGTGTGTTAAAGACTAAACGTGACTACTCCCCCAGGCAACGCTTACCTGAGCTGCTGCTGGGGCTGTAGACTTGAGTCGACTGAGAAACTGGACTTGTCGGGGTTTCTGTGGAGTTATATAAATTAAAACTGACATGATATCATTTGTACATTTCAGCATGAATTTAGAAAAATACAATCAGTAATTTATATAACGGAATTAATAATTCATGGCAGATGTTGTCCAGGTTAAACCATGCAAGGCAGTTTATTTCAATGTCACTTCCGTCATCCATTCCGGCAAAATTATCACATGATTTGTGCATTTCTTTACGACTGGAGCAGTGTATGAAGATCCAAAGCCTAACAATTTCCACAAAAGACTGCATCTCTATACGGTAATCAATTCTAAGAAATCCGAGGACAGGAGGTTCAAAACTCTCGAGACAAGCTTTCAAGTGAGTTTGAGTTTCAGCTCATCGGGCAGTGAAAAAGTTGTGCATGGTTTGCTTATCCAGAAGCGTAGCGTACAGTAATGATTTGTGTGTTACAGGGTACGAATGACTACTCCCTTTGTCAACGCTTACCTGGGCTGCTGCTGGTGCTGTAGACTTGAGTCGACTGAGAAACTGGACTTGTCGTGGCTACTGTGGAGTTATCTAAGACATGAATGATGATATATTTTAAATTGTGCATTTTATGTATGAATTTAGTAGAAATGTTGTAGATAAAAAGCGGGATTATTAATTCATGGTAGAAACTGGTTTAGAATAAGCAATGCTGGGCCGCCTTAGTTTACACAAAGATTTAAAAGTAGATTTCCGCGGAAGAAATGCTCAGTTTCAAGGAACAAGAGAGACAGCGGTCCTGACTACAAAATACCTTTCTGTTAACTGAACTGTACAGAATGTAACATAATATGTTTTTGAAATATGTTTAATCATTGCTGTAACAAGACAGAGCCAAAAGCTTTCGTAAACTCCCCTGCTCGTCTCAAAGTTAGTTCGAAAGGATCTGAAGCTGACAGAACTGCGAAAAAATAACAAACCAAAGTCTCAAGCAGTTTAGTGTGGTGGGTTCTTGGGAATAAAATAGTTGATAACCTCAGACATCTCCTTGCTCTCTGATGGGGAACAGTAGCAGAATACTTTGATAATAAAGATGACACATATACATTCCTTACCTTCTACTTTCACATTTATCACCTTTAAGCATTTCGCTGTTTTCTCGTCGTCATGGAAATTACCACTGTAAAATCTAGTCCAGACTGCGTATTGACCACTGTCATTGACAGTGGTATGGAAGATCTTCACCAATAACAAATGGGTTTGGTTATCCCTCGCAAACTCTATCTTCCCCTTCACACAAAGATCCGACAGTGGACCAGAACAATCGCCCTTCGATACATCTTTTGTCATGTGAGCAAATTCTATAGAGTTTCTCTGAGCACGATAGACTCGGAAATCTTTTTGATTCTCATAATCTGATGCGTTGAAAGGAAGGCTTGCGTTAACTCCAGAATTGACTGCAAATGTAACTGTAGAATCCAGACAGACAGCTCCTGCAGTTGTTGTGATAGCTGAAAAATTTGAATACAAAAATTTTAAAAGCAATCTTCAGAATTATAAATTTTATACTACTTAGATTCCCAGGGAAAATTGGACTTAAATGCATTGGTATAGTATCCTTGCTTTTCCAAAACTTCTAAAACCGGCTCTGTTAAAATATACAAACAGCTCACCACTTGTTCTAAAAAACATTCATAGTATTCACATTTCAACAATTTAGTTCGGTCGAGAAACCTTCAGTCAGAATTTAGGTTTCTGGAGGAATTCGAGCACATGTCCACTACGAAGAGATTAGATTACCAGACGTTTACACGCATGATGGAAATTCCGAACTCTCATTTTGATCACACTAGCTATTTTGCCGATTTTGCGGAGATCAATGCCGGTTACAGGAACGAAAGAATGAGGAAAACTATTATAAACAATTGTAAATTTTCAAATAGTTTCAAACAACGCTTTCTTGTGCTTAAAATTCATTGAAGCGTTTTCATTACTGATATATTATTAACTTTTCCTAGAAGTGTGTCTTGTTTCCGAGAAAAGCAGGAAGCCCACGGATGGTTATGACGCTTAAGGTAATTGTCGTGACTTTATGCATAATTTTAATTGCGAATCAGTTATTTCATTCAGTGAGGCATTACTGTTTAATTACATTACTATTTTCCTTCAAAACTCTGCTATTAGTGATCTGCGATCTCGTAATTGTTCCGATTTGATATATATGTAGATGTTTGCATTTTTTCTGAAGGATGAGAGATTGCTTTGGTGAAGAACATTACGTAAAATACATATTTTCATAATGGCTGCTTTCGGTTTCCATCTCTAGTACATTACATACTTGGAAACGGCGAGTTTTTTTCATCATCTCGAAAGCTAATTAAGTATATCGCAAATGTATGTTTTGAGCATTGACAGTCAACTCACCTTGAATCAGAGTTAAAGTACAAACCAAACCGCATAAGAGAAACTTCATGTTGGCCGGACACTTCGAGTGTAATCCCACCGGGGAACACGCGTCGAGAATGGCTCTGCATCTTATTACCATGCATTACTCATGGGCTTGTTTCGGCTATTTTTGTAAACAATACAGCTTTGTTCTTTTCTGGGAAAAAAGGAAAGTGTCTCTATCAGTGCGTGAAAAGCGATTACCTTGAAATCCCGAGACTGAGCTTTGTGTCTAGCACTAGAGCATATCTTTTATGCGAAGGGTCGATCTAGAAAGGAGCCGAAACGGTTGCCTGACTTTACCATAGGATCTGCTGGCGTCTTCAGTAAACATCCTTGTGTTTTTAGTATGGCGTGAGGTTACACTCGCACCAGAAAAATTCAGCCACCTCTTCACGCACAGTAAATGTGTGAAACGCTTGTGTAATCTTATAAGCCCGAGGCTCATGTTAAAAATTCATAAATGTAATAATGAAAGACCTTTCCACTTCTCATTGCTCGAGTTCTGAATTTACGACAAAACCTAAATAAAACCAGATGATGTAGGTGTGAACAATTTTGAAATTCTACAGTAAATTAACTTCAAATATCTTGACGAGTCAGGGTTAATTGAAATTCACTCTCTCACCAATTAGCTCTTAGAAATGTAAAGGATGTGTTAATAGAAATGTAAATGCAAGAATAGAATAGAGTACACATGTTTTAATCTGGAACTAACTCCCTCCTGACTTCATTTTCATGTTCCAATTCCAAAATCCTAAGATTCCTGAAATTCTACCTACCAACGAGCTTGTATTTCAAGCTTATTCCATACCAATTTGTGCAAATAATCATCCCTTTGAAACTCAGCTAGCTAGGGGGTGTCTCCTTGCAAAATATTTATCTAATCTTCGACGAATACACTTTAAAATTTCCGATCGCTGATACTAGAAACAATTTGCAGACATGTGGAAATGTGGACATGTTTGAGATAATTAAATGACTGCGTCTCCCTTTTTGCTCGAGCAGCTGCGGTTTTTCGAAAATCCAGTGTTGATCGATCGCACTAAAAGCTGAATTATAATAATAATAATAATAGAAGGTTGTTTTTAAAAGTTAATCTATTTACAAATGTGTTCTTATAACGTTCAGTATTTATCTTGGGCCATTGGCAGCTTCATATCGACGTAGTACCTAAAAAAATCGGTGGGCGAGTCAGGGTTAATTCATAAATTTTCTTTTTCTACCCTCATTTCTTCTGTCAGTGGGTGGTGTAGTAGGAATTTGGAAAGTGTAAGACAACTTTCAGGTTTCTTCAGATTGTAAAGGAGAATAAGTTACACGTTTTATCATATTTAGTGGGCATTAGCAGCAGATCATGACACTACCAAATCTGGCTTCTTACACATAATTATGTGCAGTTGTAAGCAACTATATTTACTTTCAAACTATTGTATGAGTAAATTTTTTAAAATTAAAAAAAAGTTAAAACTGAAAACGAATGGCCAGTTTTTGGTCAGCACATGGAGACAATCTAAATCAGACGAGTGAATCATGGCATATGTCTGGTTTTTTTTTCCTAAGGGTAAGCTCCTCGATGGATATTCAAAAAAACACTTGCATGCTCTCTCGTCTTTTTCCTTTCCCCGTCTATAGCTGTTTCTCGTTTTCCCGCTTATCGATTGTCTATATTGACTGAGAACTTAACACTGTCTTCAGCTTAGTGATAGGAGTAAAATATTCATTCGATCCTGTAAAGTCAATTTGCTTCTTGTATCTAATCTTTCTAATATCATCCTTTTGGCAACGTTTTCGAGAGCGACGCATTATTTCTGTGAGTGTTATCATAATGAGTACGATAAGTACTCCAGTAATGGCCAGTAAGAGGATGATCCACACGGATCTATTGGCCTTTGATGTTCCAGGTGGCGAATCAGGAACTGGAAAAGAAAGAAGAGATATAATAAGTTGTTGGGAAAAGGATTTAGTGTTTATGTCAGGTTGTTTTTTAAGAGAAGCTTTTATCGTAGGCTGTTTCGTAACCTTTAAAAAAGTCTTGTTCCTCTCTCAGTTCATCCTTATTAAAAAAATCAGCTCTTATTTCTCTGCGATCAGGAAGGTGTAAGGACATACATTCTCTAATTTTAAATCACTTCGAAGATGGGTTAACATACACTGATTAAATTTACCTCTCTCCGTTGTTGGAGACTCCAGATCGTCAGAATCATCAACTCTGACAGTGATTTCCGTGCTGTCTTTGCCTGCCTGGTTATGAGCTTCACACAGGTAAACTCCGCTGTCCCTTTTCTTTATAGAATTGAAATAAAGAGCTTGGTTTCCAATGGTTTTCCCTAGTCTTTTCCATGTTATGTTTGGTGTGGGAAATCCACTTGCATGGCATTTTATCATCAGTGATTCACTATCCCTCACGGAGATGTTTTTTCGTTGAGGAGTGTTAATTTTAGGTGGGTCTAATAGGAAAAGAAAAAGGAAAACCATCCGGAATACAAATCATTAATTTGTGTCTACTTTGATCAAATACATGATTACCAAATAAAGCTATGCCTATAATCAGTGAGTATCAACTCACAAAAGGTTCCACTGCTGTACTTTGGGTTACATTTGTATCAGTTTAAGACATATTTTCCTTTTATGTATTCTAGGTATTTCCCGGCTCCCACCTATAGTAGTTCAATGATGGTAGCAGGTACAGAGTCAAAACTTTCCTGAGATATTGATTTCCAGTCTTGAATAACGAGACACGTTACATCCAGCATGAAATTCTGAATTTGTTGAGGATGGTTGTTTACCAAAGCCAGGATGAAAGTAACGATCGATAAACGACCCGTAGTTTAGCCCTTGTTTGTTATCCACTTGAGCTTTTCTCATGAAAAACTTGATTATGGTTGAAGGGTTTAAAATAGTTAGAAATTGATCTAATATGTGAGAACTTTTTAGTCACACTTTTATGTTTGAATATGATACAGTGCGTACGACAATCGAGGACGTATTACCTTCAAGACGAAGTTTGACACTATCCGTTAAGGGAGCTTGACTCAGGTCAAACTCAACTTGAACGCCATATTCATTCTCATCGCTCTTATCCAAATCGTGAAGAGTGAATGCCACTTGCAGGAGAGACATGTCGAAGTTACAGCTTATCTTTTTCTCATAGTTCTCTCGTATTATTTTTCCGCCAGTGTTGTTAATGAGCATAAGTTTTTTCTTGAGGAATCCAGGATACTTCCACACACCAAAAACCACTTCGATTATGGAATTATTCCATGTCTCTGTGGGACGCAGCTCAAACTTCCAGCTCAAAGTTACGTTTTCTTTTCGCTTGCCAATCAATGGATTGTTTGGGGAAGACGTAATCCTTGGCAGCCTCAAATGACAAGACACTTCATGGCATATGTTGGATCAAAGAGTCATGTGTTTGGTGAGTAAGTTGTGGTCTGCAGCATTCGCGAAATATTAAGTTAAAACTCTCTAAAACGGTCACCTGGAAGGAAAACTTTAATTACTCATTTAGCAAGTGTATTAAGAACCAACCACGATAGTCAGAGTGGTTGCCGATATGGACATTCTTCCATGATTCAGAGCAAAATAATGGCTCCTAAATCATTTATCGCCCGCAGAGGTCAGGTTAAGGACAATGGTACAAATTTCACACTGGCTGAAAAGAAGCTTCGTTTTATGATTACGGCATGCAACCAGAAGAAGATCCATGACCTTTTTCTACGCAATGATATCAAGAGGAATTTTAACTCTCCTACACCCTTAAATCATGGTGGGCTAAAGGAAAAATTCATCCGTGATAAGATTAGAAGCTTGGTTAGTAAACAAGTTTTATGAAATCTTTCGTGAGATTTGAGTGATATTATTCTAAAGGCTTTGAGAGCCCTTGTTTATCCCAATTGTCAGCCGATCTGTTTAGACTCAAAATATTGATTACGCTGATGAAATTTCACTAGGCTTTTCTGAGAATGTGACCTTTGCAGCTAAGGGAGCATGACAATTTTGAAAAAATAACGTTGTTTACCACATTAGATTACTCGGAAATTATCTCTGGAAAAGTTATTTATTTGAACAAAATTCCGCGTATGGGTTTTCTAAGACAGTTTCTTTGAATTTCGATGAAATAATTTTGTTATTGCTACACACATTTCAGCGATTAGGCCTTGAGTTGAAACTTCGTCAAAGACTTCTGCCCTCGCAAGGTATTAATACGCGGTGATGCCGATTCGCTTCGTTTGTTATGATTGCATGATGCATTTCACTTTCCATCCAGTTCTTTGCTTTACAACGATAAGAAAAGCTCTGACAAATGTACTCAGGCTGCTTGAGTATTATTTGATACTCGGCAGTCAGCATCATAACTCATTTCTGGAAAGAACTTCATTGATAATAAAGAAATGGGTCGACTACGCCATAATTTCTGAGCAAGAATCGGTTCGGTCTCCTTAGCATCGAAAGTTCTTCCACGTAACCGCAACAATGCCCCAAGCCAAGAATTAGAGAAACTGAAAGATTTTGTAGTTTGACTCACCTGAGGTGAACAGAAACGCAAGAGAGCAAACTGAAAGGACTGATGGTGTCTTCATCGTTTTGAAAAATGTAATCAATACAGCTTGTCTGATTGCCTTGTCTACGTCACGCAAGGGGTTCAAAGAAAACCTGTTCTGATAATTTCGACGCCAGTTTAGCCCCAAAATGAAGGACAGATATAGTTATAGCCTTGATCAATCTATTTTCATGATCATGACTCTAGCTCATTCGATAGTTCCTAAAAAGGTAAATTGTATAGGGATTTGTAGCTGCTGATTCCTAACAATCAACGTTGTTTTTTTTAGTAGCCAATCATAAGAGAAGCAAAGGTATCTGACCAATGAGCGCGCCTCAACAGAGACAAAAAAACCGAAAAATAAGAGATCAGATTCTATAATACAAGCGCGGACAAAGCAAGGTTCCACTGGAACTCCGCTTTTTCCACGCTTATTTAGTGAACAAGTTGAATCTGTTCGCTTAATAAGTCCCCACCGCTCCTTGGCGGACTTAAAATATAAGCATGAGGACGACACCTTTATAGAGCACATGGTGTACATGTGCATAAGGACATCCACAAAATAGTCTGTAACTTTGTCGCAAAATCGTCATTGGCAATGTGTCTTGCATATTTAAAGTCATCATGAAAATACTTGACTAGTCAAAATAAGCGTTCTTAACGGCTCTGGTCCTCACTTTATCAAGTTTAGGGTCAGATATCTGCTCGTCAATTCCAGCGCTATGCTTTCGAGTCTGACTCTGTAACATAGCATTATGCCCAAAATCATGCTCACGGTTTTGCATTATGCTCCATTTGACAACTCAATTTAAAAGTGTTTAAAAGCTATTGTTTTAAACGATAGGGCTTTTTTATCATTTCTGGGAAAAAAGGAAAGCGAGTCTATTCGTGCGTGAAAAGGGACAGCCTTGAAATTCCGAGAATGAGCTTTGTGTCCACTAGAAACTGTCAACATAGGCAAACAATCCTGTGGGTTTGAGGCCGCGTGACGTCAGTTATTTGATACGCTAGTTGAACTCTTACATTGTTTGTGATTTGCAACGGTCGATCTCGGAGAGACGCAAGTGATCCCGAGAAATGTTTCATAAATTCCGCAAATCGCAACATTTTATCCCCAAAATCCGGTTAACGACAGTCAGATAAATAAAATTTTTCAGGGTTTTGGGACGGTTAATTCGCCACTTTGCACTGATGCCCCTCCAAAGGCAAAGAAAAAACACGAGGCCTGCAACTTCCAGGACCGTCTAGGCCGAAAGCCTCCAGAACTTCGCCGAATTTCTATCGCTTCCAAATGTTGCTCACCTCCCAGCTTCAGCCACGTTAAAAATCTATAAACGTGTAAGAGCTAAGCCGAAAATTGGTGCAATTTCCCGCCTTTAACCACCTCAAAAGCATGCTCGATTTCCGAAATTCGCTCATGATCTGCCGTCGACACATGATGTGGACCGAAGAGGTCAATCATAAGCCTTTGATTAACCGTATTAAAGTTCAAATTAATCACTTACCTAGCTCAGATTTTACCCGAGCCTCACCACGCTAGGGCCGGTTTGTGCCGTCTTTCGACCGACACACTACGCGCTGGCGTGGAAAGGGTCAGTGCAACATGGAATCAGCGCTAGAGCATATCTTTGATGCAAAGTGTCGATCTACAAGAGAGCTGAGCTTTTAGCATGGCGTAAGGCTGCACTCTCAACAAACTTTTTCAGCTACTTCTTGATCAACAATAAACTTATTTAAATTGTCTATTTAAATTCACTTTCTCTCTCCTGCATTTTCATAAACAATATGTTTAAGAAGAGGTGTGAAACTATATGATGAATCCTTAACATAAGAGAACACTCTTAGTGATTTTTTAACATAAAATTCTCTCTTAGCTTATAATTGTTTAAAGAAATGTAAATACAAGAACCGAGGGAGAGGAGATCTACCCCTTCGATGCATTCATTCCTAGATTCCTGATTTTAATAACCAGCCAACTAGCTTGTACTTCAAGTTTAGTGCATAGATAAACCCTTTGAAACTTGGTCCGTAATTTATAAACAGTCAGTACCTCGAGCTCGGCTAGTTAGAGGTATCTCACTTCAGAATACTTATCCAATCTGCGACTATTGCACATCAAAATTGTCTACAGCTGAGCTATTGAATCGAATTTAAAGTCGTGTGAGCCAAGATTGGACATGTTCGTGACATTTGCATCGATCGACTGTCTCCTTCCTCGTATGATCAGTATTGTTTTCTATGAATCCATTCTATGAATCCAATCTGATATTTCTATCGATCAATTAAACTGAAAATCGAATTATATCGACGTAGTACCCGAAAACGTCGGTTGATGGGTCAGGGTTAATTCAAAATTTCCCCTTTTCTAACCCCCTTTCTTCTGTGAGAGAATGGCTGGTGTACTAGGAATTTGGAAACTGTCAGATACTATCTGTATAGTTTGTTCGAAGTCATCCAAAACGATAATATCACGTCGATTTCATCGGCTGCAGCTGATTGGCTGCGCAATGCTTTTATTGCTTAAGCAACCGTTGTCCACAGTTTTTTATGCACTACTTTAATTATAACAAAGATGTATTGCCCAGAACAACAAGGAGCAGTGGTAAACTTAGACTTCCGTCTATAAAGTTAGAATGTACGAAAAAGGCCTTTTTATCATGGCTGTGTAATTTTTAATCAGTTTGTAAGATTTTTATGATTTTTCTGGTAATTTAATTTTTAAGTCCTTTGTATAACATTTTGTAGCTATTTTTAAATATACTTGGGAATCACCATTATTTCTAGTCAATTTAGGTTATCATATATGTAGGACCGCTATGGATAACAGTTTTTATGTTGTGCAAAAACTGAAGGAGCTATCCTATTGAAATAAAGGTTTCTTACTTACTTACTATTATAGTTTGAATATTTATTTTACATTTCTAACATTTCGATTGCTTTGAGTTAATTGATGAACACTGTGCTGTACTGTGCTTTTTATTTGGCTGGTATTCCTACTCTCAGTGCATTAGTGATGAGTATAAGTTTCCATCCACGTCGCAATGGATTCGAATGTCGGTCGCCTGGATGGCGCTTGGTCCCAGCACTGAAGCATCAAATCATACCTGTGGGAATCAATTCGTCTTACGGTTATTTAAAGATAAAATCTCATCCAAATAAATTAAGAAACTATCACCTTGCTCTGCTCTTACTAGTTATCAGCTTGCTTGGGGTAAGCCCACAACCGCAGTAATTACGATGGCGAAAAGCTAGGAAGTTTCTGATCGAAAAACCAAAGCTCATAACAACATTGAGTACAGACTTGACAGATCTCAACCAAGATGATAAGATTTCCCTTGTTTTCATTTTGCCCCTAATTAGTCAAATATGTGGCCAGAGTTTTTCTGAGCCAATCCAAATCTGTAGCTAAGCAAAATTGACGTTCTTCTCTTAGATGAAAACTACAGTAACTGTAAATTCAGGGATCAGCCTTCCTCAACCGAGTATCGATATAAGAAGACGCTAAATAATAAAATGCTGTAACAAATGATTTCCTTCAGCCCAACAATGATAAGATATGTGAACAAGAGTTCCAACAACTGCAGTCTCAGGTTTAAAAAAAATTTAGTTCTCATAGTTGTTGGGACTTTCGACGAAGATATTGCCAATATAATGCACATATATTTTTATGAAGAATTGGCTGCACATCATTATAATAAAAAACCTCAACTGAGGCCTACCGACGAGTGTGAATAAAAATTAAATTTGATTTTACGTACAATTCTAGGCTCACACGTGACGTTCTTTCTAGTCTGTGACCATCTGACACGTATTTATGGACTTCGTGTCCCTTCATTTCTGAGTATGGGTAATTTCCTACAAAAATGACAAACGTGAGAAGGGCTTCCTTTTAATTCTGCAAACTTATTGTACCTTCAAAGAAATTCATTTCATTTCTCTCAGTTTTAGAGGGCTATTTCTACCAAAAGAGAATATGTTAAACTGAACCATAGCTGAAATCAACGTCAAGGCTTGACGTCAATTCCTTGTTTTTCCATAAGCAGCGATGGTCTGATGGGCGGCTGTGCTCGACAAATCGAAACATTACCATATTGACTTCCGATGGTAACTTCCCACCCACCCAACTCCCTTCCCCCTCCCCCCCACTTTGCCCTTTTCAGGAGAATCCCATACGATCATACCATCATACCTTCGGTAATGACGGTTTCTATACCAACCCCTCAGGATCAATACTTGTCATTTTAACAGGGATTGTCCGTCATCATTTCTGAATACTCTCCTGTCCACCAAAAGAAGAAGTGCCCAAGGCCGATATTGTTTTTTCACCTAGGTTAAGGTACGTCACATTGACAAACTCGGTGCAGTAAGTAAAATCGGTGTTAAAAAAACCTCCTGTCTTCCACAAAAGTTTCAAAAATTTCACTTACCGAGTGTAAATATTTCATACAGGACAATGCCATAACTCCACCTAAAAACAAAAGAGAGACACTAAAACACGTTTACGAGAATTATTAATCACATTTATGATTCATAATACTATTTATTTCAGATCTTTTTTCAGTAAGAGAAGAGCATTTGCATACTTTTACCATTGAAAATACTCTGAATTCGAGGAAATTTTGTGTTTAGGTAATCACGTAGCTGTCAAGCAGAAAATAAATAAAGAGGAAACATTAAAGATCAAATTTCTTTATGATTAAATCTTTCATTATCACAACGTACTTCAAAAATATGCTATACAATAATTTTGAGAAAAAAAGCTATCGTATATACTTAAAGAGATTGTAAACTGGTATTTTGATTAAAGTTATCTGTTCCACTTACACGTCACTTTTTGTGGTAAAAACTTCTCTATCCAGGGATTCAACTGCCATCCACCGCAGTGGTTCAACTCCCTGTGAAGTGACGCATAACTTTTCAGCACAAATCACAGGAAGCATTTTTAATGAAGTTTAGCGTTTCTTTAGTCTTAGATATTTGAGTTTCGCCGGCTCAAGTCTAAGAAGTGACGAGTTCCTGGTCTCGGGAAGGTGGAAGGGGGGAAGGGGGTTGGAGGCAGTGGGCTCTCTCTTAGTTTACAGGTGACTTTACTCTTACCTTCGATTTTCTGACATAAATTTGCGCCTCGCCTCCGTGTCTTGTCATTCCTAAGTCAGTAATTTTACAGCGAAGACCTTCTCCAACCAAAATGTTCCTCGCCGCTAAATCCCGATGAATGAACTAGGAGTGAATGTACAGCTTGATGAATACTCTGTCACCCTTCTGATAGCCTCATTGGAGAATGACATTGCTTGTGTCAAGGCCGGTTATTTAATTAAGTTTCAAATTTCACATTTTTATATTTACAAACACACGTTCTTTTCATTGCCGATGTTGGGAACTGGTGATGTCACCCATTACCACTTCATGGTTTAACCATGTTTGGAGAAGATCCGTAAGAGTGAAAAAGTATCAACGACTCGTACGAATTATATTAATCAGTAATTATATACTTAAACTAAAGAGGGTGGCACTGAATACTTAATAAAAATTAGAAATAAACTTGTGGTCCTCTATCTAAAATCATACTATAGATATACGACTAACTATGTGTGCTAAGTGTACGTACAAAAATAGAGCTAATGATATATTGAATATTAAACTGTAAATTAACAATTACAGGTTGATCAACATGATGAGGAGAAAAAAAAGGCCTCGAAATTTATCACAATTCAAACAGAAATCAGAAAAGGTATCAAACAAAGAAAATCATTACTTTTGACTGCGATGAAGGCTCAAATGGCGGTGGCATCGCGATAAGCGATAAGTAACCATCGACCTCAGTCAATATAATATAGGACAACTTGTTCACCCGTTTGGAGGAGGCATTTATCTTGGAGGCGAAGTGACTTCAGACGAGATGGTAACTGGGAGACTTCTCCTACATTTGTAGTTACTTAGTAATATCCTAATGTCTCCTTCTTCATCTTATCTATTTTTTTTGTCTCTATGCAATCATAAAGAAATAAGCTGTTTAATAGCATCAGAGCTGAAACCGTAAAGTCCAAAAGACGTGTATGAATAGAGTGCATGTACATGTATGTATCACTTTATTGCGACTAAAAATGGATAAAATCAATTGAAATAGCACACCTTTTGAGCTGATATAAACGCCATTCCTCTTGCAATATCGCTTGCGAATTTGTAAAGTTGTTCTGTTGATATTTTCCGTGGGAAGTCGTCTGTCTCTCCTTTACTTTTCTTAAGATATCCAAGGAGATCGCCATGTGGGACAAACTCCAGGATAAGAAGAGGAGGCTCTAAACATATACAGACATTAGTTTATAGTGAAGGTCAAATCAGCAACAGTCTAAAACAGACACAGTTAGAGGGCGCTGTGACCGCAATAATCGAAAGAACTTCATTAAGCTGATGAGAGAAATTTTGGATTGTAGCAGTCAAAGGCTTGAATTCCCGCAGAAGGATGCGACTGTAAGTGGATGAATAGTTTAAATAAATTAAACATTAAAATTGATAATGCATTTAGTCCATTTTTATACTAAAGAGACAGACCTACCCTTCACTTTTCACAAGATTTGATATTTACTATGAAATAAGCCAAACATACTAAATTCGCGTCCTTCGCATTGGAAGATATCTTTTGTCAAACAGCCCAACAGTTGTACTACGTTAGGATGAGGTACAGCTTGAAGTTTTTTCAGCAAGTTCAGCTCATACCACAAATCCCGCGAGTCCAACAGGGAGGATTCTTCTACAACAAAGGTCATAAATAGGATATATATATGTCAAGGTATATTTCTAAACACATTATAATTTACCCATTCTTTCCGATAACGTGGTTACAATTCCTCTTTCTAAAGCAAATTTCGTTACCCTTTCACTGCTAATCCCTCTCGCACGAATAAAAAGTTCATTTACCGTTTCTCTTACGACCGAGACGCACTTTATAATACATTCACTTTAAGAAGTGTTTTACTGACAAATAGACGCAGCTAAACAGTTTTAATGAACACTTGCTTCATTGGTCTTAAATGGTAACACAAGTTTGACAGAAATAATGAGGATGGAATTTGCATAATAGGTGTGCACAGAACAGGGATCTTCTCTCTATGTGGCATCTAAGTCATTACCATGAAAATACCAGAAAAAATTGTCTAATGCGTCAGGAATTGAAAAGTAAAAGATTTTGAGAGCATTCACGTAATTAGAATTGCTTCTGATTAGAATTCAAGCAACTCTTTCGCGTCGTTGGGTTTTCCTCGTACTTTGTATCTCGTTGGAAACACGCTGACGTTTACACCAATATTTGAATATCTTGACAGTCATCCATACCTTTCAACATTTTAACTGCCACTTCTGACCAACCTTGAGTACGACCCACATACTTTGCCTCACCCTTCCACACCTGACCAAACTCTCCTTCGCCGATTTTTTCAAGCAGTTTCAAGCTTTCGCAGGGCACTTCCAAGTCGTTGCTACTCTGTACTGGCGTGTATGGTGACTCGCCCTTGAAATTAGAAGGTAATGATGAGTTTAGATTTCTTGGAGCCTTATAGGGGGCAGTGGAGCAATTATCGACTTGGGAGCAGAAGTTGTTGTGCAGATGTTCCAGTTCAATGCTTCCCCTAGAATCAGAAGCTAAAGATGGATTTGCAGGTCTTGGGATCTTGTAGGGAGCTGCTGTGCATCTCTCATGCTGATGACTTTGCTCTTCTTGAAGAGTTGCCAGAAGAGGAGTGCGGCCACTTGATTGGTCAACAACCTCAATGTTTGCGCAGTGTTGAACTCCTATTTCACCACGTAAAGTGTTATCTTGTCTTACTTGATCAGAAAACTGAGGGTTTGTTATTGCAGCTGTTGAGACTGTTTCTTTCGGTTTAAGCAGAGGGCGATCGTTGGGCAAGGTCTGGCGGAAACATATTATTCTTCTTCCTTTCAGGATGAGTGCAAGCAACAGTAGGCCAAAAATGGTGCCAAGGACTACAGATACAGTTATCCATGTAAAGTTATTACGTTTTTTGCCGCCGCTGCTGGTTGGCGCCATCGATACCTTGGGCTCTGTTTAATGACATTTAGGACCCAAAAGATTATCAAAGGCTGAGTACCTAATATGTATTTATTTATTATAAACATACTGAAAAGGCGGGAAATAAATTTTCATTCTCAAGCTGGTCGAAGAAGCAAGAGCCAACGAAATGGCGCGTATCACATTTTTTGTCGTGTGAGGAAAACGATACAGCCAATCAGGAGCCGCTTATCATGTTTTTCACGTGTAGACTGTATCAAGGCGTTTCTCGTTTAACCGTCACTTGCAGCGATTCGCTTTTCACACCGTTCGGAAAATTATGAAAGTCCTCTCTCAGGGCTTTATATCAAGTCGAATTACTTACAAAAGATGACTGAGGAAAGATCTGTCACTAATCAAACTTTTGTGGTGGATTCTTTGCAATAGAAAGCATACAGAACAAAAACACAAAAGGGAAAACAAACCGAGAATTGAAACTGTGCATGTTCAAATAATTTTTGCGACAAAAAGAGCGAGGAAATCGAGTTCAATGGGTATCTTTCGGCGCTCTGTTCGACAAAAAGTCAGAGAAGATCATGAATCCTCAAGCTTTTAAAATATGTCATGTTTCACGTATGAGAGGTATTTTTATATTTTCATTTGCTGTCGGTACCGTTGCATCATTTCTATCAGTTAGGCAATTTATATGGTTTACATCTTCCATGATATTTTAATGAGCCTTTGACTTGAATCTTTTAACACTGAATAGAATGTCATTAAAGAAGAAGTAAATCTCCCTACTCGTTCGCTGCCTCAATTGGTCGCACAGGACGAAATCACATGTTTCCGTATTTCTGAAACGTGGCGGAAACATGCAACTCCATGTTTCCGTTATGTTTAACATGCACAAAAAGTGGTCCGGTTCCGTTGTATACGCAGCAACGGAAACGCGAGAAAACGTCACGAAACCGGTAACGGAAACACAGGTTATCCGTCGTGTTTCCAGAACGGTTTAACATGTTTCTGCCACGTTTCCGTTTACGGATTCTTGCAATTTCGTCCTGTGTCGATTTCCGATACTACCAACTCGTGTATAAATATCGTACGGACAGACATTCCATGAAGTATTCCATAGACATATTTGGGATATGGGGCGCATATAGCAACAGTGATCCATATACTTAAAACTGAGAGGGTCAATCAACAGACTGATATACCTAAGTACGCTATAGTTTCCCTCAAAACTTCTCGGTTCTGTCATTTATTTAAAAGCTATGTCTACTTCCTAATTGTACAGCAGTCTCTCAAAAACCTTTCCAAGATAGATATTCAGGTAAATAAATTTAAAAAATGAAAACAGGAAAAGGTAAGGGCAGAACAGCTTACCAGAGCTCTTAATTGTAGTGGTGCTATAGTCCTGAGTTGACTGTGGTCCTGAGTACAAGATACAATATTCACACTGAGTATTGAGGTCAACAAAATAGATATTTAAGTAAATAAAATGAAAATGTTAAAAACGGAGAAAGGCAAGAAAAAGGAGAGCTTACCAGAACTCTTCATTGTAGTGGTACTGTAGTCTTGAGTTGACTGTGGTCCTGAGTAATAAACACAATATTTACTCTTAGAGAGAGAAAAGGGTAAAAGGTAGGAACAGAACAGCTTACCAGAGCTATTAATTATAGTGGTGTTGTAGTTCTGAGTTGATCGTGGTCCTGATTATTATTATCCAATATTCACTCTGAGTATCGAGGTCAACGAGATAAATATTCAGGTGAACAAATTTAAAAAATGGAAACGGAAAAAGGCAAGGGCAGAACAGCTTACCAGAGCTCTTAATTGTAGTGGTGCTGTAGTTCTGAGTTGACCGTGGTCCTGTGTACAAGATACAATATTCACACTGAGTATTGAGGTCAACAAGATAGATATTCAAGTAAATGAAATGAAAATATTAAAAACGGAGAGAGGCAAGGAAGAGGAGAGCTTATCAGAACTCTTCATTGTAGTGGTACTGTAGTCTTGAGTTGACTGTGGTTGATGGTGCATGATGATATATAGACATTGATTTAATTCAGAAGAGAGAAAGGTATGCCTAACTTCAACAATTTCAGTGTTCTCTAACGAGCTTCGGTCGCTGGAAAGTATAAACGTGTACCCACATAAAAAATACTAATCGACTTGATATCCATGCATTCCTTACCTTTTTTTTCCAGATGTATTACGTGTAAACACTTCATTGTCCACTCGTCTGATTGCAACCCTCTGAACCTTGCCGAAACTTCGTATAGTCCACTATCGTTTACAGTGACATCGAAAATTTTTATCATCAAATGGGTTTGGTTCCACTTCCTAAATTCTATCTTCTCCTTCAGACAAATCTCCATCAATGGGCCGGAACAAGTGCCTTCTGATTCATATCGGTTCATGAAGGCAAATAAGGACGAATGTGCGTATGCGCGATAGACACGAAAATCTTCCACATTCTCACGAATTGATCTATTGTAAAATAATCTTGCGTCCTCTCCGGATCTGTTTTCTCTGATTGGATCTGTAGAATTAGGGCAGGCTTTCCCAGTAGTTGCCTCTGTAGCTGCAAAATATGTGTACAAAAAGAAACAGATTTTAGAAGTAATCTGCACATTTTTTTCTGGGTAATTCTCACGAATCAATAGGTGTAGAATTCATACTCTTCCAAAACTCCTTCAACGCTCCGTTCAAATATACACACAGTTCACCGTATTTTCCAAAATCATTCATATTCAAATGTCAACGATTTTGTTTCGGTCAAGAAAACTTTGGATTCAGTGTTTAGTTTTCCAGATGAATTTGAGCAAATGTCCACTGCGAAGGGACATTTGCTCATAGTAGCTATTTTGGATGGTCTCAGTTGAGGTTTAACCGTTTGTCGTCTGAGATTCTAAAATTTAATCGTCAATCGTCAAAAATGATAAATTTTTATTGTAAATCGTCTAAAAAGCAGCTCAATAATGACTGTCAGACGCTTTAAAGGTCTTTCGGATCTCTCTCTCGCTCGCTTTTCCCCATTTCCGCTGCTTCCCGCGAACAGTTGCAGACCTTATGGAATCTTTAAACCATTGTAAACCAGTATCCAGGTTTTCATTTATATATTCATTTCATCTTGTCATGTTCACTGATTTTCGCCTAAATTGACAGTTTGAAAATATTTTGATATCTGATTTTAATAGATACTGAATATGTAAAAATGGCTATCTTCTTTGAATAAGTTCTCAACTCCAGCCGGTGGCGTCGCACGCAGCTTTATTCCCGCCGTTCGACCAAGTCAGAAAAGTTCACATCATGTCCAGCATGTTGAAAACTGTCGTGAGCTTCTATCGTTGAAGAGAAGATAAAACTTTCCAGTGATTTAAGACAGGACTTTCTGTTAAGGAAAAAGCATCTGAAGTCTTCAGCAATTGATTTCCAAGGATTCCGAAAATCCACCTCACGAGCCATGGATAGCCGCCTGCAGTTAATGTTTAACATGTAGCATGCGAGAATATTTTTTACGAGCAATGAGCGAAACGTCCGCTCATATTAGGTGGTAAAGCATCAAATAAATATTTCTGGTTAGATGTTTTGGTGTGTGGTATCGCTGAATATTTTTATGAGTCGTGCCGCCAACAAACAATTAGTAAAAATACTCAGCGCTACTACACACCAAAACGTTTAATAAGGTGTTTATTATCTAGCTGCTTATTTTATACACATAGTAAAGACTGGGGAAAGCAGAGAAGGTAGAGTAGCGTAGAGAGCGTAGCCAACTGTTTAAACAGGTTATTTACAGTAAAAAGATTAACCAAAGATTAACACTCCTCAGCAAGGCTCTTCGGTGATTTTACTTTTTGTCTTTTATCACTTCATTTAGAATAAACAAGGGAACATACAATACAATTAATAACTTCGCACATTACCCCGAAACGGGCAGCCGAGACATTCAAGTAAACAATCAACTTGGCCATACATATATCAGTTGCACATTTGTCCCAGGTAACTTGAAGTTATCTTACATTTATTCAAATTATTTGACTTGCTATCAAAGAAATACCCTTCTATTCCTGGCTTCATTAACACGTGCATTCAAACTCTTGTCATGTCCTTTCATTCAACGGAATTACAGCCCTTCGCTTCAGACGAAAAGCTCAACCGGTGGTTTTCTGAATAAAAACTGTCGAGTTTTTAAGGTGGTACGGGAGACTAGCTTAATGTTTTTAGACTGCCTTTATTTTCTGGTGATTGCATAATTACCCAATAAGAAAGGTCTGTACCAAATTTGAAGTCTCGGGAGGAACGCGTTTATAAGATGTAGGCGACGGAAGTTTTGTTTTCAAGGGCTGCGAAAAACAAGACTACATACTAAGTTCGTTGTGGTCTGTGAAAGGTCTGACCACAACTCAAGTCAACTGAGGGTGAATAGAGCAATAGGAAGCTGGATGTTTCTAACTAAATCTTTTCGAAGACCATTTAACTATAAGGAGCTTTCTTTTCTATATAAAATTATCACACACACTAATAATGATAAGGGGTTTACCGAAACATTCAAGCTAGCTCACACCTTGAAAGCTCTTCAATCAATTATTTGACCTTACCTCGAGACATAGCAGTAAGACATGTTAATGTCCAGCCCAGGATGAAAAATAATTCCCACCGACGGAACATGGTCTGAGTTAACGCGCGATTGTTGTGCCTACCAGCTGCTCTCACCCCACCGGAACAACGTTCTTGCACATGACGTCACATCACATGGGTGTACCTATTGTGTGAATATTATTTCGTGTGTATTTCGTAAAGAGTGGGAAAAGCGAAGAAGGTAGAGTAGCGTAAAGCGCGTAGCCGACCGCTTAAACAGGTTATTTCACAATAAAAAAAAAAAACAACTGTCGCAGGATATTTCTACTCGATTTTTGCGTTCTTTGTACTCTTATTGGTGCAGTTTGATAATGACATGGCTTATTTTGCGCGTTCCGATGCCCTAACATGGTAAAATGACGTAATAGTGGAATAATAAAATATAGTACACAACAATTGTGATTAGCACTCCACAGCAAGGCTATTCGGCGACTTTGATTTTTGTCTTTTATCACTTAATATAAAATAAGCAAGAAAACGTTCAGTAAAATAAACAACTTCACACATTGCCCTGAAAAAGACAGCCGAGACATTTAAGCAAACAATCGACATGGTAATAAATATGTCAGTGGCACATTTCTCCCAGGTAACTTGAAGTTATCTTACATTCATTTTAATTGTTTGACTTGCAATCACCGAATAATCCTTCTATTCTTGGCTTCATTAGCACGTTCATTCAAACTGTTGCAAAGGGTGAGATGCGTACATAATGTCCTTTCATTCAACAGAATTACAGCCCGTCGCTTTGGACTAACAAAGCTCAACCGGTGGTTTACTGCATAAATACTGTCGAGTTTTTAAGGTGGTACGAGAGGTTAGCTTGATGTTTTCAGACTGCCCTTATTTTCTGGTGATTGCATGACTACCCAACAAGAAAGGTCTGTAATAAATTTGAAGTCTCGGGAGGAACGCCTTTAAGTCATAGGCGACGGAAGTTTTGTTTCCAAGGGGTGCGAAAAACAAGACTACATACCGAGTTCGTTGTAGACTGATAAAGGTCCAACCACAACACAAGTCAACTGAGGGGTAACAGAGCAATAGGAGGCTGGATTTTTTTAACTAAATCTTTTCGAAGACTGATCAGTAAAGGTCATTGAAGTACGAGGAGCTATAATCTATAAAAATTTATCACACACACACTAATTATGATAGGGGGGGATTTACCAAAACATTCAAGCTAGCTCACCCCATGAAAGCTCTTCAATCAATTATTTGACCTTACCTTGAGACATAGCAGAAAGACATGTTAATGTCCAGCCGAGGATGGAGTCCAGCCCTTACAGCTGGATCGATTTAGCCCAAAAAATTGGTGCCAAAGGCCCCATTTTAGTGGGGCAGAATTGACCCAATATGGCTGTGTCTCCAAACAAACACCAAAAAAAAATGAAAAGAAGTGAAGATCCAAATAAATAGGAGAAACCCTCTCCTACCTTCCAAATCCAGCTCTTGTCGCTTAATATTTGCGCACAGGCATGCTGGATATTCTCTGAAGGAAGATAACTCGCACGTTCGGACTGGGTGTATTCGCACCCTTGCAGAAGACATAGCATATACTCATCACCTTTATCTTATTGACAAATGAGGAAAAGGGGTAAGTTTCTAAAGAAACTGTGGTGCTGCGTCGCCGGGAGAGTATAACAGCTAGGGGTAATTGAGTATTATCGTCTGAGTTGATAACGCAAATTGGCCACAGTAAAGAGTTCTAAAGCTGAAGTTTCGAGCGTTGGCCCCTCGTCAGAGCAAATGGAAGAATTTATTTATTTATTTATTTTTTTATGCCCGTTTCTCTAAGAATAAAGTAGTTGAATAAAAAGCGCTCGTTTATACCGTGGTCAATTTCTCCATTCGCTCTGACGAAGGGCTAACGCTCGAACGTCAGTTTTTAAACTCTGTACGGTGGCCAATTTACCGGTTATCAACTCAGATGATGATACTAAATTACCTTTTTTTATTGTTAGTCTTAATTATTTGCTTTACGTTATTCATGTCTTGTTGTTTGCAATAATGAAATATTTAAATTTTTAGCAGTCTGCTACTTTTTGATAATTGTTTTCGTCTTTAACAGCTCCATTTCTGTTCAAGAGCTTTAAGATCGACCAGGTTTCAGTACTGACAGGCAGACAACCCTGTGGGTTTGAGGCTGTGTGACGTCAGTTATTTGATACGCTAGTTGAACTCATATTGTTTGTAATTTGCAACGGTCGATCACGGCAAGGCGCAAGTGATCCCGAAAATTCTTCATAAATTCCGCAAATCATAACATTTCACCCCCAAAATCCGCTTAATGACAGTCAGATAAATAAAGTTTACTTACCTTTGTTTGCCTGTGTTGTCTCGAGTGATTTTGCGGGGTTTTGGGACGGTTAATTCCCCACTTTGCATCAGTGCAAAGTGGGGAATATATTAACCGTCCCAAAACCCCGCATAGATTCTCACAGTATAAGGCACCTCGAAAATGAACGTGGAGCAAGGGTATTTTGATGACTTGATTGAAAGAGAGCATGCATGTCATGAAGGCGTGGGAACGGAAGAAAGTGATTTCAGACAATTGCAAGTTCCAGTGCCTGGTAACGGCGACTCGAGAACTATCGTTTGAGATAGTAGCCCGGCAAGATGAAGATTTTTACTCGTGCACTGAAAACACTATATTCAGACTAGCGGGGCTGCGCACATCGCATAGTATGAGTGAGGCTTTAGACTGACATTACAGTTGTTAGCGCGTCACGCTCAAATATAGACATTCTCTCGTCTCCCCAAAATCCAGAAATAGGCCTCATTGTCATGATAATCATGGAATGACGCATCGATAATCGATGACAGATGAGATTCATCATGGCCGCTACAGATGTACATTTAAAACCAGTATTCTTACTTAGCAGCTTCATCGTATACATTTTAGTACCGATTCAAGGTAAGTTGAGTCGTAAGCTTTTAGGGTTTACGTGTAATTCATAACGGTTAGCATTGAAATGACTGTGACTGTCACTGTCTTCAGTTATGCTTCGAAACTGGAAAGTGAAACCGGAAAGTTCTACTTCGAATTTGCTCCACCAAACTTACTTTTCTGACTTCCAAAAAAGTTGCATTGCTAAGCCATGGCTGGTGTGCACTGATAGAGAAGTTTTAAAGTTGTATTTGGTAAAGTTGTTGCTTGTTTAAAGCCACAGTGTGTCGTATTCGAGTGAAGTTGCTCATCCATTAAATAAGATCGATTTAGCAGTTTGAAGCTTCCTGTTTTTCTCGGAAACATTGTAAATTTAATGCTTGTTGAACCTTAGTGTTCCCTTTGATCCTCTGTATTTAAATTGGTTATAATACAGTTTGCCGCGCTATGCATAGATAGCCAGCGCTCATGTCCGGAATCAGGGAAATTATGAGAAAATCATGAAAAGTATCAACTTAGGAATATAATGGTAGGTTGGAGGGTGCGTTTTATTGATTGAATGGTAACTTATTATCACTAGAATTACTGTTATCATTATTATCTTCATTATTTTCCTGGTCTTTCATATCCTATTTTTGAATTAATACATTGATTCATTAATGTTGTTATTTCTTTGATTTCATTTATCAGCAGTCTGTGGTGACATGCGCTTCACAAATGACAAGCCAAAAGATTCTATCAGAGCTTCTCTAGGTGATAACGTGCCTTTACGCTGGAGCTTTACATATAACGATGATGGAAAAAATTCAGCTGGCCCATGGCGTGCTCGGGGAGTGGACGAAATCATCTTTGGCCAGTGGAAATCTACATATGGTGAAATCCTTTTTTTCGAGAAAATTGTAGCAGTTGACAATGGTGGTAATTTCACCGTGCGAGATGGAAATAAAGATAAAATAGACTGGAGCTTCTCAAAATACCAATTAACATTCACAATAAAAAACATGGCTCTTAAGGATCAAGCAAAATATGGAGTGCATGTTGAGCTTGGCTTAGATCAGAGCCCCTTGGAGCATTTTGTCAATGTTGAAGTTGTGGGTAAACAAATCAGCAAAGATCAAAGCACAAATGTCCGAAATGGTGAGTTTAAATAATACAATAGTGTCTTTAATACCTTTAACTAAAAGAAAATGTGATTCTCAACGTATTTTCGCCTTTGCGCATAAAAACACAAAAATCAGTCTGTTGTAATCTTCCATGCACTTTCACTATGTGACACTTTGTTTTCTGAAGATTATGATCCTCAAAATAGTGAGATTCTATTTCTTATCTAGTTTCAGCCTATACATCCGAAACTGTCGACATCTTGTTTACACGATCAAAGGATGACTCCTCGAAAAATTTCCGCAAGTATGAAATCTTGAAAAACGACTCCCTCATCACTCTTGGAAAAGAAAAAGACGGAAAGAATAAATTCTTTTGTAAAGATAACACTAGTCACACAGCTACCTGCAAGGAGCGTTTCTCTTTTCGCTATGTGAACAGCAGCTACGTGTCCTTCCAAATTAGAAATGTAACGTCTCAAGACGCAGGTCTATACTTCTGTCAAACGTATTTCAGGGGGGTTAACAAAGAGAATGACCCACAATACGAACATGTCAATTTGATTGTACAAGGTAAAGTATGCACGTGTATCTGCTTATAATCTGGTCATTCTTTCATGCAGATTTTATTTATTAGCTCCTTCATTCATTGCAAAATTTGAGAAGTTTTCAATCCTTTTTATTTGAGGTAAAACAAAGTAAATCTGACATGCAGAACAGATGGGATTTTCTCAGCCATTCTCTATAAATTAGTGACGTTTCTTTATTTAATTGAAATGGAAAAGAGTCCTAATTGTTCCTTTCGCTTCATTTTATGAGATTAAAATTCCCTCACTTCTGTTTATGTTTTTAATAACACTATTCGAATATTTGACCTACAAAATGACGGCATTTTTTTCTATTTGGTTGGCACAGAGTGCATATTACTTGGAAATGTGGCCTACACACAAAATGCATTGTGCAGAATGCGAACTGATTCAGAATACAGACCAAAAAGACTAGATTTTAAAAATTATAATATTTTATCGCGTTTAAGGTCGACTTAGACGAAAAACTGTTTTTGTTTTTAGTCTACATTTTGCACCCGGTCTGCTGCTGCTCGCATTTATCCTTATCTGTTTTTTCCTTTTTTTTAAAGGTCACGCTGCAGTTCCCACTACTTCAGCTTTCACCACTACAAGTGATCATTCTGGTTGGTAATTTGCTTATTGACTAAAAACTGGCAGTATAGTAACGTATTAAAATGGAAAAAAGGATTAATTGTTCCTTTCGTTTTATTTGATGAGATTACAATTCTCTCACTTCTGTTTATGTTTTCAATGACACTATTCGAAAATTTGACCTACAAAATGACTGCATCTTTTTCCATTTGGTTGGCACAGAGTGCATATTACTTGGAAATATAGCTTACACACAAAATGCAGTGTGCAAATGCGAACTGAATTCAGAATACAGACTAAAAACTTAGATTGTAAAAGTTATAATATTTTAATCGCGTGTAAGGTCGACTTAGACGAAAAACTGTTTTTGTTTGTAGTCTACATTTTGCACACGGTCTGCTGCTCGCATTTATTACTAACTTTTTTTCCTTTTAACATATCACGCTACAGTTTCCCCTACTTCAGCTTCCATGGCTACAAGTGATCATTCTGGTTGGTAATTTGCTTTTTAACTGAAAACTGGCAGAAAAATGTAAATTGAAAAAAATAAAGTAAAATAAGTTCACAATAAAAAAAAACCTGGGCCGCAATAGCTAGAGAACGAGTTATTAAGAGTAGAATAGGGTGGCTTTAAATTGCATAAAAGTGAAGCATTTAGCAATGACTCTTGTGCATGATTTAGTTGGGTGATTAGTTTGAAGTACCCTGGATGCCTTGAAAGGAACGGCAAATCGTGGAAGTACCTTAGATTGGCATAAAGTGCTGGTATAAAGTGGAGTAGAGTTGAAGAGGGTGGCATAAAAAGATGTGGAAAATAGCGGTCTTTGTCAAATTGCTAAAGGAGAGAAGTGGGCGGAGTGATATTAAAGTGAGAGAATGTAATCAATTTTGCAGAGTACAACGCTGTGACGACACTGTTTTGGTAGTGGTTGGTGTCGAAGGAAATTGAAAAGTGTAAAGTTACGTAAAGGGGCTTGGCCCGGGAACGTGTGAAGGAATGGCAGGAGAACATGAAATGATAAGGGAATTTGGTTGGACGAGGAGAGCTTTGAAGTAACGCAAGGAGAAGCGTAAAATTATCACTGGAATTTTTCTAGTGGTTTTTTGCAGCCAGGCGATCTGAAGGATTTGAACTGGTGTGAATTGGAATGGACTCAAGCCACAGAAAACATGATGGGGGTGTCCTGCAAGGCGTGGGGTCTAATTTCCTTCACTGTAATAGTTCAGGTGGCTGTTGTATAGCGGCTGAATAAAACACAGCGAATGATGTGAACTGAAAGTTCTGCTTTTATGTTCTATTTTTATAATGTCACTGAGATCTTTCGTTCCTTTTCAGGCCTTCAACCTTGTTTTATTATGCTGGCAACGATAACTGCTCTACAAGCCCAGTGCCATTAGGGAATGTCACCTGGGGAAGCTCCAACAATCATAGTGATAATAATTGTAATAATAACATAAATATTACAGATATCAACTATTAATCTTTTTCGTTACTTAAGGTGAAACTTTTCGCTGATGATTGTGCAAAACAAAAACGTGGAGAGAAGCCATCTTAATTTTCTTAACTTTAACATGTAAACCTGAGTTATTAACCTGTAAATAGTTATTGGTCAGTGCACGACTACAAGCTGAGTTGGCGTAGAGAAAAATGGCAAAAGTCCACTGTTGTTACAGATACTTTTTTTCCGAATTCCAGCTCATGGCATGGGTGTTAGGGATAGGTTTATATCAAAAACCCCGTTTACAGCCGGGCTCTCCTCCTTTTATTTCTTTCCGCCTCTAAAGCCGTTTTTTTTCCTTCCCGCTTTCTCGTTCGTCTCTTCTGACCACGAGCCTGATGTAGAATAATGTCCAAGAGTACTCTTAAATATCTCGTCACGTGCCTTGTTGTGCTTAGTCAGGCTAATACTGACTTATGAATAGGATATGATGTAATCATATAGAATGTTCTAGACTGTTCCGCATGTCTAAAAAGTTTGAGCCCCGGTTATTGTTATTAACCGATAAGCTGACAATAAAGCTGAATATGAAAAAATATTAAGTGACTACTAACTTTGGCACCAGAAGGCTAAATAGCAGCAGTGTATACTCCTATTTCAGTTTGCCGCTGATAAGGCATTTGTTTTTTTTATAACTTCCTGAGAGCGACGCCGAAATAATTTGAGTGTTATCAAGATAACTAATACAGTAATGGAAACAGGCAAATAATCCACACAGGACTTATGTCCTCAGATGATCTTGTTGGCGCCTTAGAAGCTGGAAAATAGAGAAGAGATAACATATAATGAATGGTCGGTGAAAGCAAATGGGGAGCTTGTGTAGGTATAATAAGAAACGGAGAGATAAAGATGAAAGATGAGAGGGACATCAACATCATATCCCCCTCAACGGTTGTCGAAGAGAATATGAAGTTTACCTTCCTGCGTTGTTGGAAACTCGAGTTCGGGGGAATCATTAACTCTTACGATGATTTCCTTACTATCTTTGCCGGCCTGATTATAAGCTTCACACAGGTAAACTCCGCCGTCGCTTCTTTTTAAAGAGTTGAAATACAGAGCTTGGTCTCCAATGGTTTTCCCCAGTCTTTTCCATTTTATGCTAGGTGTGGGAAATCCACTTGCATGGCATTTTATCATCAGCGGTTCACCATTCCTCATGGAGATGTTTCTTTGGTGAGGAGTGTTGATTTTAGGTGGATCTGATTTAAAAGAAAAAATCCATATTAAAATTTCTATGATTTGTGACATTCTTAATTACATGTAAGGCTACACAAAGTTTTTTGTTTTGTCTAGAAATAACTATAGAGGCAGTCAGCATCAATTCGCAAAAGTTTCCATGCAATGCAAGACTACCCCACAATCAGCTGAACTCACTTTATCCTTCACAAGTTAAAGACTGTTCATGAATTCAGTTTACTCTTCCTATAAGTTGGCCATTTTTTTTAAATAAACTAGACTGGTCCCCTTGATCAACTCGATGCTCAATTTTAAAGAGGAACGAAGATCGTTGTTAAAAGGCATAGAAGGTAAATAAATCCCTTTAATGTGTTAAGTTCAACCTCTTTCGTCATATCAAGCAGAATGTACAACAATCGCGAAATTACCTTCAAGACGAAGCATAACACTATCTGTTAAGGGAGTACGACTCAAGTCAAACTCAACTTGAAAGCCGTATTCGTTTTCATCTCCTTTGTTCAAATCGTGTAGAGTGAATGCCACTTGCAGGAGAGAAATGTTGAAGTGGCAGCTTATCTTTTTCTCGTAGTTTGTTCGCACCACTTCTGCGCCGCTATTGTTGATAGCCACCAACTTCTTTTCGAGGAATCCTGGATGCTTCCAGACACCGAAAACCACTTCGACTATAGTATTGCTCCATGTCTCTGTAGGCCGCAGCTTAAACTTCCAGTTTAAAGTTACATCACCTTTGCTTTTATCAATCACGAGTTTGTCAGGGCCAGACACTATCCGTGGAAGCCTCACATGGCTGGAGACTGCATGCATAACATATATTGGGAGAAATATTATCATGTTAGGTATTAATATCACATTGAGTGGGATTCGCAAAAATGTAAGTGAACTTTATTAGAATGGTCACTTTGGGGCAAAACTTAAACTATCTCAGTAGCAAAACTACTCACCATCCCAGAACCCAAAGAATTATATCTAACTGAACCGAAATTAATGTGATGAAGTGGTTTACGGTAGCAGAGATTTCCGTTTTCCGTCATACAGTAAACCTGATTGAGTCATAATTAAATTCCGTTGAGATATACGTTCAGTCATTAAATCCAAGCATAGATAATTCGTGTTATCTCAGCAATAGCCCAACTACCGAACTATGATAATAGATAGTGCATTGTTTCCGACACTGTGCGTACTCTAACAGCTGAGAGAAGACTTGTGATGATAGCTTTAGAAAACATACTTCAGATGAAAGTCGAACATTAATCTCCATAATGTTGCGGTAATGGCCAGTTTGCTGAGCCTCAAAATATTGAGCTTGCAATCGTTGGACATGAGCTATTGAGATTTCAAGATGCTTTTCTGAGAATTTGACCTTTAGCTATTGGCGCACAACGATTCCTAGAAAACGTTGTTTACGTCGTTGAATAATGCGTCCAACCGACCCCTGGAGGGATTAATCGCCTAAATTAAACTCTGGATTATCTTAATCAGCTTCTTTGAAGTCCGTTGTATTAACTTCGTTATTGCTATGTAGATTTCAGCCATCAAGGGTTGAGTTAAATCTTTTCGCAAGCTATGAATCCACAGTAGTGATACCTCATCTCAGCCGATGCGCTTCACTGGATCAGCCACTCAATTCACTTTCGACCAATTATATCTTTTCCGCTTCACACCAGGATAACAAAGCGCTTAGAATGCACTCAGACAACTCACTGTTTCTAAAATATTATGACACTCAGCAGTTTAGCATAATTATCCTCGTCTAGAAGGAAACATTTAAGAATTTCAACAGCTACGCAGAAATTTGCCTTACGTTGCATCTGTATATACGCATATATACGCATATATATCCGCATCAGACTTACCGAAAGTTCCTCCACCCTGCTATCACTACAATCAAAATTACTCAGAGTGATAACTAGCGGTGTTTCAACTCACCTAAGGTGCACACGGACACAAGATGAAAAACTGAAAACCGTCGATGGTGTCTTCATATTTTTGCATAGAGAAATATCGTCTCCCAAGTTAGTTTGATTACCTTCACTATAATCACATTAAGGGCTCAAACCAAACTTGTAAAGCTACTTTCAAAGCCAGTTTAGCCTGCTGCTAAAGCTGCGTGAATGTTTCTTGTTTCCTTCCTAGAAAAACAGACGCCAAAGGGTCACGACGAGGCAGGTTTCCAATGACCCAATCAACGAGGTTTTGAACAACAGCCAATCATGATAACGAATACTATTAATCAATGGAATATTTTTATTATGTAAGGATACATGAAATGAAACGTCAGAGGTTAACCCTATCAAGAACACTCCCTATATAAAATATAAAATAAATGTACTATAATGTAAAATTTAAGAATAATTAAGAGACGGCTAAAAAAAAATTAACAAAATTTTACGATGCATCTTAAGTTTACTTCGAAAAATGCTGAAATCCTGTTAATACACTATCTCTTTGGGAAGAGCGTTCCACTGTTTAATAATTCTCACAAAGAATGAGTGCAAAAAACAATTTACCGTAGCTAATGACTGTCTTAATTTAAATGAATGGTTTGATCTTGTTTCACCATAACAATTAAATTCAAAATAATCAGTACAGTTGAAGCCATTAAGACCATGAATAGTCATGTAGCACTAGTCTAGAAAAGATAGATAAGACCTCCTTGATTGAAGACTGGACCACCCAAGCATTGCCAGTCTTTCGTCGTACGGAGAGTCCCTAAATGACATCGGGAGAGCGTATTTCGAGGCCCTACGTTGGACTCGTTCAAGAGCGTCAATTTTCTTCTGTAACTAGGGTGACCAGAGAGGGACAGCATATTCTATACAAGCGGAACCTAAGTAACTGACCAATAAGTGAGCCATAAAAGAGGAAAGAGAACAATGAAAAGCGAAAAAATAAAGAAACGAGAAATGGTGTCGTTGATTCATAACTTAAGGTGTTTAAGAAAACCACGTCAGCAACGGCAACGGGAACGTCACTAAACGAAAGGTTTAATGAGCAGAACAATGGCTGAGCACGTACGTTATAAATTTTTGTAGATTTCTCTGCGTCCTCGGCAAAACAACAACGTGAAATGACCAAACTTTGCGTCGTCTAAAGAACGTGAACAACGACGGCTAATTTTTTAAATTTCTAGTTCTAATTTAAAGCTGCATGTGTTGCCTATTCAGTTTCGAAATAGTTTGACCGTGGAAAACAAACATAATGACTTTTGAGTTTCGCGAGATTCATAGGTAAAATGAAGATTCACTTTTTAACCGACGTTGTCCACGGCTTCTCCGTGGTCGTTTCTTTAACTCTCTTATTAGACAGTGCGAGCGCCTAAATGTAATACTGATCACCCAGAAATATGTAACTACCTACTCCTAGCCTAGAATAAAGATCCACCATCTAGATTAAAGAAACTACTTTCAGAGAAACAGTACATCTATTTAATTGACACCTGTTCAAAACACGTGCTGCGCCACGTGCTTTAAGGGAAAAAAATGCAGTTAGGCTGTTAGACATCATACTGTTTGCGCGCTCGATACTAACTTTAGAGGGAGCCATATTTCATTTTCGTCTAAGTGAAACGCACTTGCTCTCATATTTTGGAATTCTCAAGAAAAAAGGAATCAAGCTAATGATACACGCTTAGGGCAAACGTTTTTCAAACTGTAAAGCTTCCACTAAAATCAAGCGATTCTACGAATTCAAAGTAACACAATTTAAAAACTACTCGGCAAGTTAGTGAAAGTTTATTTTTTCTTTACGTGATCATTCATTCTGAGAAAGTAAAATTATACATGCATACCCAAGCAACCTCCTTTTGTTCACTCTTTCGTAATTAAATGCCCTTATGAGCAGCTAAAACATCCTGTTCATGGGTAAATTGTAAACTGGGGTTTAAATATCTGCTGATGCTAACAGCTATCATAGCGATTATTCTAAGCACTGCTCACGTTTATTGGAGGTCGTGACCGCCAAATTTTTAAACATTCTGCCAGAGTAGATGTTGGCCCAGAGTGTGTGTACACTGATCTCGATAAAATAGGTAAAGCATGTCGTTTGAGTTATTTCGTATCTTCGCACCACTTTGACTTTCTTTAAGATGAAATACGATTTTTTTTCCAAGCAATCAAACTCCTTATATTTTAGCTCTTGGGATTATTTGAGGTTTTGAGTTTTGAGTTTGGTCACTGAACGTTGAGGTTGAACAGAGTAGGGGTTCTTTAACTCAGCTGGGCAAGGTATTGTTTGACCCTCTACCTCCCTTCCTCCGCCTCTTTCATCTCATTTGATTTAGTGAGCACTTGATGCCTTCTTGGCGTGCCCATCATAATAATTGAA